GCCAACAAGTGACTCCATGAGAGTGTGACACTTGTCACACTTTCCAAAAATTGTAAAAAGGTCCTTTTTGAAAATATCTTCCAAATTAAATTGTAAAATGGTCCCTAAGACGAAAAATAATTACTTTACAGTAATTACACAAAAACCCCAAAAGTTTATAATATTACAAAAAGGTTATGCGTCTATACCCTTTACAAGAAAAGTAAGCACTTAGCATGCTTTTTTACAAAAGTGAAAATACACATAGTATGGAATTTAAATATCATGGATGCATGCAAAATCGGAATCAAATCCGAAAGCAAAAAGTGAGGTTATGCCAACAAAGTGACAACCGAGAAAAAGACGAAAGGTGAATAGTGTCACAAAAGTGAAAATGTGAAAATGATTCGGTTCTCAAAGGAAGTCGTCAATCCAAGAAAAAGAGTCTCGGAAACCATCCCTGAGCACTCAAGATGACATTAAGTGGTGAGAAACCGAACTCAGAAAGGAAAAGATCAACGGAAAAAAAATATCCGTGAAAATCTGATAAAAGGAAAGGAATGAAAATGACCGGGTCATTACAGTGGCGATGGAGGTAGTGATTACCATGGTGGAAGACGTTGTGGCAGTCCATATTTAATGAGATTAAAGAAATTGATAATTTTTTTTTGGGATAATTTCACTGACACCTCCTGAAATTTGGCTAAATATCAGTGTAAAATATCTTTCGAAAATAACTATCACTCACATTATAAACGTTTGCTCCGTTTTTCACTAACAACCCAAAAGTTAGTTGACATATGTGTCAGACCACTTTTTACATGTAAAAAAACATTCTTACCCTTTGACTTTGGTTTGACTCACTAAATTATTTCTTTAATGATTAAAATTACATATTTACCCTCATTTGACTATTCAAATGACATGTTTACCCTTCCTTTTTCGTATACAGGAATAAATAAAGTCATTTTATATTTATATTTATATTTGATTTATATTTTTCATTTCTTCCATCTCCAAACCCACAACCACCACTGTGTATTTCAGCTGTAACCATAACCATCGCTGTTGACCACCTGGATCTTCGCTGTTGTTCTCTATAATCTGACACTCATCTAATCTTTGTCACCCTTAACAATTTTGCTGGAAAATACAGAAGCATTAATTCATTTAACCCATCCCCTTTTAGTTTTATGGGCAATATCATCTCCAATCTTCCTTTTTTTGTGAATAAAAATAGCGCATCAGTTACATTACTGTTTCTTTTTTGGTATCTTTTGACAATTGGTGTATATCATATCCCCACTTGAATTTCTAGTTTAACTGAAGTTACATTATTATAGCATTAGTTTTAATTTAGGATTTTGATAGGTTGATGATCAATGAGTTGGGTTATATTTTTTCATCATTCTTTTAATTATTGTTATTGCAATCTAATATGTTCAATTTGGGTTAATAATATATTCTGGATCAAGGGGTTGGTTAGCTTGAAAGCACCAGTGACTTAGGAATGGTTGGGTTGTTGAAGAACAAAGCTTCCCAGTGGTCCTAAAAGAATTGGGATAATAATATATTCGTTAATTGGGATATATATATATATATAGTTGAAATTGGTTCCTGTAATCATCGTTCTGGGTTAGATATATAAGTCTATATAACTGGGTTTGGACGTCGTCGGAATAGGTGGTGGTGGGGAGGGCCTCTCATCTTTCCAATTCTCTTTCAAATGAGATTTGGGTGAAAGATTCGAGGGTAGTGATTGTTGGTATGAGAATTAGAAGTTGTAACCATCAAAATTGGGGTTTTAAAATTGAACAAATCAAATTAGAGTTTCGAAATTGCAGACCTCACATTAGAAATTGGGGTCTGTTGAATGGCTTGGGAAGAAATTGGGGTCTGTTGAATGGCTTGGGCAGTGGTACGGTGGTGGGTCGCCGAAAACTCCATGACCATGTCCCTCCGCCGCTGCCTGAGCCGCCGCTCCACATCTCAGTCCACTGCATCGCTAGCCTCGATATACTACTTGCTCGCTGCACCACATAACAGTGTTTGCCATCGGTCAGATTCTTGCCAGTCGTTAATCCTTGCTTGCTGCTGCTCTTCACGCCGTTTACTCCGTCATCGCCGGTGAATCTATACTTGCAATAGAGATGGGAGAGGGAGCGTATAGAGATGTTTTGGGGGTGAAAGGGTATAGAAGTCATTTAAATTATCTAATATTTTGAAATAAATGTAATTAAAAATTAAGAGCAAACATGTCTTTTCCCATACTTTTAACGAGGCAGTAACAGAAAAGCGAAAATAAACCTAAGTGATAGTTATTTTCGGAAGTTGTTTTAAATTGATATTATTAATTTATTACATTTTGTAGATGATTCTTAAATGGTGTATTATTATTCATATATATACATACACAATCAGACACATACGTGGTATATATTGTATGTGATAATATATGTATAATTCTCTAATGTCAAATAATTCACGTGTGCAACTTGTTTAATTTTCTAATATTGTGTTTGGTGTGCAGGAATGCCCATTTCAATCATTCCTTTGTTTGGTATGCAATTTAAAGTGAGTTTCACAACTAAACCTATTGAATGCCCATTTCATTCCCAAATTTTTTTTTTTTTTAAAAATCAACTTCTCAAAAAACCCTTATGTTTCAAGTCCAAAAGTCATCACCATCTTTCACTACAACCACCTCCACCTTTCACCACCACTACCACCGTTACTGACACCGACTTTCACCACCACCCACCCCTTTCCACTACCGCCACCGCCTGTCACCATCGACAGCGCCTTCCTTTGCCTCAACCATCGCCGCCGCCATCACTTTTTACCACCGCTACCGCCACCACCACACCACATTCCACCAGCACCACCGCTATCACCTTTCATCACCTTCCACCACTACCATTACCACTGCCTTTCACCACAGCCACCGCGTTCCACCACCACTGCCGCCACCGCCTTTCACCATTGCCGTCTACTGCCGCCGCCGCCTTCTGCCACCACATTTCACCACTACCACCACTTTCCACCATCACCACTGCCATCACCATTACCATCGCCATCGTTTTCCACCACCTTCTACCACCACCACCTTTCACCACCACCACCGTTTTTCACCACTACCACCGTCACCGCCTTTCACCACCTTCTACCATCGTTATAGCTTCGTCTTTCACTACAACCACCACCTTCCACTCCTATTGCCTCCATCGCCTGTCACCACCGCCACCGTCTTGCACCACTACCTCCTTTCATCACCACTGCAGCTGCCACCACCACAGCCACCGCCTTTCACCACCACCACCACTACCGTCTTTCATCACCACCATCACCTTTCAATGCTTTCACCACCTTCTACCATTACCGCCTTCCACCACCACTACCGCCATTGCCTTCCACCACCTTCCATCACCACCATCGCCACCTCTACTGCCTTCTACCACCACCACAATCACCTTCATTGACTTCTACTACCGCCACCTACACCACTATCTCCTTCCACCACCACCAATACTCTTATCACTGTTTTCTACCACTATTGCCTTTCACCAACACTGCCGCCTTCCACTATTGCCACCGCCGCCGCCTTCTAACACTATCACCTACATCACTACCGCTTTCCACCTCTACCACCGTCACTATCACCATTTATTTTTAAAAAATTATAGAAGAATGTAATTTTGTTAATTTAATTTATTTTTTACTAATAGGAATATTTCGGATAACTTAATTTGAAATTTATTTCATTCTAAATTTAAATTTGATCCAACCAAATACAAAAATAGTTATTATCACTTTATTTCTACACATTTTATATTTACAACCAAACAATATAATGAGAGTGACCATTTCATTCCATTCATATTATAATTCTATTTTATTCTATTATTCTACACCAAATGCAGCATAATATTAAAGAAGTTTGCGTGTCTCCTCAAATAAAAATAAAAAAATGTGTGTGCGCGCGTGCTCAAAGAAAAAATATATATATGCAGAATTTCAACGCTGCAGCTAGTGTTTGATGATTAATGAAGGGGGAGAAAAAGAAAAATACAATATTAACCTCATATCATGTTTTGAAAAGATAGTTAAGAAAGAAAAAAGAAAAGAGTAAATAAATATTTTATTTTACTAGTGATAAAAGACAAACTTGAAATTCACTTTTATGAAAAAACACAAAATTACTTTCCCGAGGAAAAAAAGACATGTAATTACTTTCTCCATATCATTCCATCATGACCATTTTTGAGAGGAGAACAAAATATAATGCGGAGAGATTAAGGATTTCCTTCTAATATTTTCAATCTCTTATCAAAACATTATAAGTAAACATGATATATTGATTAAGAATTGGTAAATAATTTGTGAATTCGCAAATCGGATCGGATTGAATTGCTACTTTAACCAATCGGCGGTGGATTAAAAAAATTGAATCTGTACCTTACGAATCGAATCACGAATTGAACTATTAAAAATTCAATCCAATTCATGAGTCCGAGATCTTATCCGTAAAATTTATTTATATATTCAAATAATATATTAATTAATTTAATTAGTTGATGATCTAAGAATGCATTAATTAATGATCATTTAAATATGTGAATTAATGATGATAAATTAAAATTTTATCTATTAGGTTATGGTTAAAAAATAAATAATATGAAATATTTAAGAAAAACTCTAATTTGTGAATCTAATTCGATCCAATCCGTCATTCAACGGATCCCGTCAGTGGGATAGAAGGGAGAAAAAATATTTGCGGAAAAATTAGAAAGATAATTGGGTTAATTCCACTTATCTTTCTTTCCTGAATTTTTGATTTATGAAGCCTCACCATTTTGATTTATGATTTATCCCATTGACGGGATTGTTGGATCGAATTGGATCCACGAATTAGAATTTTTCTTAAATATTTTATATATATATATATATATATATATATATATATATATATATTCTTTTTTCCCCTCTTCTGTCAAAACAATAGAAACACTGCTTTCTCTTCCTCCTTAGTCCCCCCCTTGTTTCCCTTCCTTTCCAAACATAGCATAAGTTTGAATTGGTACTAAGAATAAGATCCCATAAAAAATGTGTTTTGGAAAGGTTAAATAAAAGTATTTGCAAATTGCTATCATTCGCTTTCATTAACTTATCCCTTGCTCAATTATCTCTACTTTTGTCACCTTCTCTCTCTAAATCTCTCTCTCTAGAACTATATCTATCTCCTTTTTGTCATCCTTGAATTGATCACCAGAAAACCTAATTCCCGTCCGATCGACTAGTCTGCATTCCGGCGATCCTTTGCCGATGGTCACCTTCTGATGCGTCAACTGTCAGCTATCTCCAACGACTCGTCATTTTAAATGACAATCGGTAAAATTTCTCTCCGATTAGTGCAGTAGATCCGTTGATCAGTAATCTGTATTTACAGCCATTTCTTCTGAATAATCGTCAAAAATTGTTCAAATTTATGTTCTTTTATTGTGATTGATCGGTAAGAAACTTGTAATCACGGCTCAATTTTAATGATTTGATCGATATTTTGTTACAAGTATAGGGTTAGGGTTTATTAGATAGGGATGTTCAACAAATTAATGAAACGTGGACACCGTAAGGTGTCCAAATCGGAGAGTAATGATTCCGGGGCATATGGGTATGCTCCCTCACCGTTGAATCGGAATTCAGGGTCAGTTTCGACATCGAATGTTGTTGTAAGCCACGCCTCTCGGGGCGTCCCGGCAGCAGCTGCAGCCAATTTGCTGCAACAGCAGCCTGGTGGAGCTGTGATGACAGCTGTTCCGCCTCCAGGGACAATTGAGACCCTCCCTTCCTTCAAGGACGTTCCGGTTTCCGAACGCCAAAACTTGTTTCTGCGTAAATTGCAGATTTGTTGCTTCCAATTTGATTTCACGGATACATTAAAAATGGTTAGAGAGAAAGAGATTAAGAGGATGACCCTTGCGGAGCTTGTGGATTTTGTACAATCGGGTTCTGGGAAAATTACAGAGAGCAATCAAGAAGAAATGATTCGGATGATTTCAGTAAATATATTCCGGTGTTTGCCACCAGCATCCCATGAAAATACAGGTTCAGAGAACATGGAGGCTGATGAAGAGGATCCCTATTTAGATCCTTCGTGGCCACATTTACAACTTGTATATGAGCTGCTTATGCGATATATTGTCTCTTCTGACATTGACACCAAGGTTGCCAAGCGGTACATTGATCATTCCTTTGTATTAAATCTACTTGATTTGTTTGATTCCGAGGACCCCCGAGAGCGTGAATATCTGAAAACTATCCTTCATCGAATATATGGGAAGTTTATGGTGCACCGCCCATATATCAGGAAAGCAATAAATAACATATTTTATCGGTTCATATATGAAACGGAGAGACATAGTGGTATTGGTGAGCTTTTGGAGATTCTTGGCAGTATAATAAATGGATTCGCGCTGCCAATGAAAGAAGAGCATAAGTTGTTCCTTGTTAGGGCACTTATACCACTCCACAAGCCTAAGTCACTTGCTTTGTATCATCAGCAGTTGTCGTATTGCATAACTCAGTTTGTTGAAAAAGATTACAAGCTGGCCGATACTGTTATAAGGGGTTTATTGAAATACTGGCCAGTTACCAATTGTCAGAAGGAGGTTCTCTTTATTGGGGAGCTAGAAGAAGTGCTGGACATAACACAAGCTGCAGAATTTCAACGCTGCATGGTTCCTCTTTTCAGACAGATAGCCCGGTGCCTAAATAGCCCTCATTTTCAGGTTTGCAGATCATTTTGTAACATTTTCTACATTCCAGATGTCCCAATTTTCTTTTTCAGATTTTTGCATCTCTAATTATGGGTTGTATGCATTATTAAAATTTGAAATTGTATTAGGGAATCTAAATTTGCTGCTTTTTGGAATTGTTGCATAGTGCTAATAGAGTGGTTATTGGGCTGGTGGTTGTCATGAAGGTCTTTGCCTTACCCTTTTGGTTGTTTGTGACAAATGGTTGTTGATGATTCATCCCTTTATTTTCTTACGAAGATAACATACTCTTTACATTTTGTTTCTGCCGAGTTATTTTGATTCGGTATGGCCAGTTTGTCCTTTCCCATTCTTTTGTTCGTACGTGGTTCTTCCTTATCTTCTCCTTCTTCTTTTTTTCCTTGCTTGAAGTCCTGCGGCTCCTGATTGTTGAGTAGTGTTTTAGGCCTTGATATTATGGTTATAAAATCTCCATTCTTCTAGGGCTTCTTATGATAAGTGATACCAGATTGAACTCTTTGTTGATTTTGTGGATCTTTTATAGTTTTGTTGAAGTTCGCCTAAGCTCTTCTGGCTATGGCATTGAATTTTTCTAGACTTAGTGTAATTTTTTCTTTTGTTTTAGACTAGTGTTTATACGCATAGAGACAGTTTTTCCTTTTTTTTATTTTATTTTTCAGCAACAAACACCCATGGGAGGGTATTGGAAAGGTGTAGATAGAAGAAGATATTTGTAAAATTTATATAGATTCGGATAAGATTATGATAGGGTTCCTAAAGATATGCAATGTTGGATTTTTGAAAAGAGAGAACACGATAAAGGACCTAATAACACCTGTAGAACAAAAAGTGAATTTCAAAGTATTATAGGCTTACACACTAGAGATCAACATCGCGTCCCCATTTTATTTTTTATTTTTTATTTTTTTATTCATAAACCGACGAAACATATTCAGGATGAAGTTATATGGCACATGCTATCAGCATATGATATTGTTTTGGTCCATTAAATTAAAGAAAGGATAAGTCTTAAAGGAGAGACTCGAACAGAAGTTGCAGAATTAAAAGTTTTTGAGATAAGAGAAACAAACATTTATATAGACTGTAACTTTCGTTTTCTGGTAAATATAGAATGTAACTTGAGTAGAACCAGAAATTCTGTCGGAGATATAATGAATATTGAGAATCAAAATATATTAAAAAGGGTATTGAAAAAAGAAGAAAATATATGAAAAAGTGAAGGTTTTTGGCTGCATAAACTCGATAATTATTAAAGAGGGAGATATTAGAGATGATGCTCAAAAATAAACTATTGTGGGTTAAATGGAGGAGTGTTTACAAAATACTAAAATTGAAACATAAATTCTATAAAATATTTATTAGATTCTTCCTATTTTGTGGGACAAAATATAGCACGACCAAGAAATGACCTATACATTAATGAGCGTGGTTGAAATAAGAGTAATAGCACCCAACCACCCACTTAGGATAAAATGAGAGAAAAACAATCAAGATGGTGATGGGGATCAAGATATGAGCCATATGCACGTGTTATAGATGATTCGCACCTATGCTAACAGAAAGGATAAGGAAAGATAGAATTAGGGTTTTCTTATATTTTTTAGCAATTGGATTATCTATTTATCTTTATTCTTGTTATTTTATATTTTTGGCAATATTTAGTTTAGAATAATTAGTAGTTAGGGTTTTCCTTAGGGTTGTCTATGATTTGTCTATGAATAAGGTATTATTAATAGGGTTTTGACGTTTTTGGATGATTCCTATTATTATCTCTTATTCTACATCAGTTTGGTATTAGAATATTGTTTGTTTTGCATCTTATAATTTTGCCATGTGGAACAAAGATCGATATGCACCAGTGAGAGTGATGTGGTCCACATTGAGGGTAATGATCCGGAAAGAGAAAGACGGTAATTAATATCTGTTAAGATAATAAAGCAAGATGTAATAGCACGTAGTTTAGTTAAAGCTAGGACATTAGATAGGGTAAAATGGTGAAATGCGATTCATACAAGCTAAGCAACACAAATAGTTGGAACAAGAGTTGAGTTCATGGAGTTGCTCTTTTTTTTTGTCTTTTCCTTTGGTAGGTAGGTTGAATTTTTATTAATCGGAAAAAGAGAGTACTAAAGATTTACCTGAAGCTCAGAAGGTGCACTCTCAAATGTTAATACACCTCGTAGGCACAAACTTAACCAACAAACAGATATAACTCTCACAATCTGAGAGATTAGGCCGCAGAATGAAGCAAAGAAAGACAACCATAACTTATATACTATATGAAAAAATCTCACTTAGTGGTTGTCAAACACATCGTATAGGCGGATAACACAATGCTTTTTGAACCCGCTACCTTTGTTGACTGATAGGGTGTCACAACGTGCTGGATAAATGAATTATGAGGGGAAAAAAATTCTGCCTGCAATAAATTTCCTGTCCAGAGCTAGGTGAAGACATTTTATATTCAAATCTTGGTGGCATATAAAATCTGGTCATGGAAGCATAAAAGTGTGTGTGACGGGGATGTTCTGTCACACTAGTCAGCAGAAGGCCACAATGCCACAAAGTAGCATGTGAACTATCTTCATCTTCCTTACAGGCTGTCCACCATTAACGTTTCTGCAGAGAGCACCATGAGTGAAAAAATCTCCAATGTAGGTCACAGAGGCTAAAAGATGAATCTTTGGAGCACCTCCTCATTTCCATTAACCAAATCCATACATCCATAACCAAGCCAAGCCAACGACTCACCAACCTGCCAGAATCAAGCTTGTGGTCTCACAAACAATTCCTCCTTAACATCTGTTAATGGTCGACAGTCACTACAAACCTCCAGTTATCTTTTATGTAGTAAGCTCTTCTTGAACGATTGCCGTGACTGTATAGGAGACTTGGCTCCAATGGTGAGGTGGGTAAAGAAGTAGAACAGAGGAGGCATACGACCTGCACCTCACTTGAATGGTCACCACAGACAAGGTGGTTTCATGATGACCTTGATCAGATGATGGGAACTGCTAACTTGAAGCACACGTCCTCCATTGTGGTTGGAAAGGGAGAGGTGTGAGAGTTGGACAGAATGGAAGCAAGGCGAAGCTGAACCATAACCCAGCTTTTCTGACCATCGTCAAAGCCAACGTTCCAGCTCACAAGGCTAAATTTTCAGCCATAGCGGACATATAGCCCCACCACCTCTCAACTGATTGCCTCATCTTTGTCTGCAGCAGTGGACAAACATGGCACAGAAGACCAAATCAGTACAAATGGTTTGCCACAACAAATGACCCAATCCCACAACCTCATCTTGGCTAATCTTCACTTTGACATTAAGTTCCTTCCAAAGATATTGGGATTGATTAACCCAGAGGGATGGCATACCAGTTGGTGCAGCAAAGAGTTTTGCATGGACAGAAAAGAAGAGAGTTTTAGGGGTAGGGGAGGGTGGATGTTGAGCATGAAAATCCATGGGAGAATTCTTTCTCCAGAATTCGTTTTCTTGGGCGTTTGGCTGCCCTGAAGATTCAGGAGCACACCAAATTGTGGGAATGACCCGTTAAAATTGGAAGTCAAAATGTTTTTACTGGTTACTCAAATTTTTGTTCGAAACCTTAAATTATTTTTGTTTAGGGCCCTTCGATGATGACCAGAGGGTAAAATTCAATTGAAAGCTTCTTTTTTTTTTGTGATATTTACGTAGAAGTTTATATATATATATATGCATAGAAGTCTTTTTTGCTTTGAGCTATTTGAAAATGATATATTGGGTGGGACTGGGGGTTGTTGAAGGGGTTTGGGTCCAAAGAATGTCTTATCTTGGGTTTTGGGTTCTCCATAAAGGTTCATGGACACATAAATGCGGCGTTTGGTAGGAAGGAAAAAAACTGGATTGAAGGGAGAGAAGAGATGGATGAGACATCCTTAGGAAAGGGAGTGTTATGTATGTCTCAAATTCTTATTGGGTTGGGGTTTGGGTTTCTATTGGTTTAGGAATGTTTTACTTGGGCCCAAAGTAATTCTACTTGGGCCCCAAGTAGTTACATTCCTTGCACAACATTAATATGTATTCTTGCTCACTAAATTAGGGTTGTATTGAAGGTGCAAGTTAAGTTGTGAGAGACTTGAGCTGAGAGAGTAGAAGAGTGTTTGTGTAATCTTCATATTTGAATAGAAAAGTTAGTCGTTCTTCGCCCGTGGACGTAGGCAATTTGTTGAACTACATAAATCTTGTCTTAAATTCTTAATTGTGTGTGTGCTTTCCTTCTTATTTTTCTTTGTTGCCATTGCATATTTATTGTGTGAGATCTTGGGGGGATGAATTCTTAATGGGGATAGTGCCCTTCCCTCTTTTTGTTTGGTTGGATGGAAGAGAAGGGAAGGAGGTAACACCCAGTGTTGTTAAAGGCGCCCCCAGGCTCGCGCCTAGGCTCGAGGCTCAAGTTTAGCCCTGTTGTCATCCCAGGCTCATCGATGTTTACTAGGCGCGCGCCACTGATATTTGTTTAAAAAATTATGATTGTTCTATTTTTTAAGCCAAAAGGGTACTTTTGGCAACTTAATAAACAAAAACGAAAGCCCAAGCATACGATAGAAGGAACTTTTGTACAAAGAAATAAAAAAATAAGAAAGCCCAAGAGTCAAAGTGTTAACCGAATAGCGATAGAATGAGATTGTGAGATGAAGACAAAGCCCTAGTTGCATAGATGAACGACGAAGCCACGTCAGTTCTTTCTTTCTTTTCTTTTTTTTTTTTCCTCTCTTCTCCGCTAGATCTCCCCTCTCTTCTTATCTTTGTTTACATCTCTCTCTTTGTCTAGTTCTCTTCTCTCTTTGTTTTTTTTTTTTCTGGCTCTGTTCTTTTTTTTTTTTTTTGTTAACATGTTTATTTATTTTTGTGCTTTGTTTTGCCATTCAAAGAAACACATTTTGCTTTGCCTTTCAAGAAAACAAATTTGTGCTCTGTTTTATGGTTGTTGGATGCTTGTATAGTTGATGGATTTACTTTTTTATATTTGATATTAATTTTTAGAATATTGATATGACTTATGAGATATTAATGTTAGTATGGTAGTTTAAATTTTCAATTGTGCGCCTCACTTCACTCAGGCGCGCACCTCGCCGTGCGCCTCGCGCCTAGGCTCCAAAGGACCTCTAGCGCCTTGGTGCGCCTTATGCCTTTAATAACACTGGTAACACCTTACTTTATTTGTTAGAAGAGAAGAGAGAAAAGTTTCCATGATGCATCTTTAAATTTGGTTTACCTGCAGTTGGTCTTTCAGTGTGAAGAATTTTATATTGTTGTAAGGTTTGATTCTTAATCTAAATACGGTTTCTAACTTTTTCATTTTTGTAGATTATGGAACATATATGGTTGGAATCTGATCTGTTATTAATTCTATTTTATTATCTTATTATCTGTAAAGCAGTTGCATATCTTTTAAAGTTTTTGCTAAGTCCAAATTATATTGCAGGTTGCTGAACGAGCTTTGTTTTTGTGGAACAACGAGCACATTGTTAGCTTGATTGCGCAAAACCGGAGTGTCGTTTTTCCAATTATTTTCGAGGCATTGGAGAAGAATGTTAGGTCTCACTGGAATCAGGCAGTCCATGGCCTGACCGTAAATGTTCGGAAAATGTTCTTGGAAATGGATATCGAGTTGTTTGAAGAGTGCGAGAAGCAGTATGCAGAGAAAGAGTCCATGGCCAGAGAGTTGGAAGAGCAGCGGGAATTGACATGGCAAAGATTGGCTGCTGCAGCAGCACAAGGAGGGTGAAGGATATGAAACAACTTAATGGATTACTTGGGGTAGGGTTCATCACAATCCAAAATGTTGGATGGATGGATGGATAATCTCCATCTTGCTTATATTCTTCTTTTCTTTTTTCCTTTTCATTCATAGATCTCAATCCAACCATTGAAGATGCCTGGAAAAGCAGCGTGCAATGTAATTTAAACGAATCAAACTTCGCCGGTATTATGCTGCCAGATTAAGAATGGTTTGTGAAGTCTTGTATTTTTTGCACACTATGAAGATAAGAACTATTTTCTTGGTTCATAACTGCACAATATGACTTGTATTTCTGTAAATGAAATAGTGAATTTAGAGGCTGGATATATTTTCCCTGGTCGGTTTGCTGTACAGAAGAAAAACCAGGGCTGTATTGTCATCTTTTACGGAGGGCCTTTTTGACTTTTGCTTTTCTACCTAATAAGTTAATGTTGGAAAATTTCCAAATGTTTTGTCGACAGTCACTTTTATACAAGAGAATGTTTAAACTGTGCCAATTTTCTTCAGTCTATTTCCCTCACACACACTCTCTGTAACTGAAAAGTAATGACCTTTTTTACTTGATAAAAACAATATAAACAAATTTTAAGAATCCATTTTCCTAGTTCAAAATAAGTATATATACTTTGATGTGGTGTCACAAACTCAGGTTATGCAATTGGTTAATCGCGGTATATATTTTTAAGTTTATATTTAGAATCAGGGCACCTTTTGATGTGCCTAATCTTAAATCTTGTGTGCGGGCATCAACTATTGTACTTACCAAATGGTGAGAAAGACTTCATTTGTTTGGATGTAAAATTCTTTATATATATATATATATATATATATATTTGTTGTTTGATTATTGTAAAATATTTATAAAAAAAAATAATAAAAATAATTTATTTATTAATTTTTGATAAATTATTTTACATGCGGTTCGACCTCAACCTTACTTAAACCTTTATAAAATACTCAAAAATAAAAAATATATATATATATTTTAGGTCAAAACAAACTAAGCCTAATGGTGCTTAAATTTGTTAATATTATTTTTCCAATCACCATTTCATCATTTGCCTCCATTTTATTGAAAAATAGAGCAGAGTTGAGTGAAAAATATACAACAATAAAAGTGATATCTGATACTGTAATAATTTAGATGGTGCTTTTAGCGTGAGTAAATTTTCTGAAGCCAATTTGCCTTGTTGTCCCATACGGTGCATAATACTTGACCTATATTTGGGTACGTCTTTATTTGTTTAAGGATCGGATGTTGATTGAAAGCCTTCAACTGGTCGACGTATAGTCATTTCACGTTGACCGAATCCTACATACATGAAAAGGAAAAAAAAAAAAACCACACTCATCACATTCACCGTCAAAAGAAGGTATTCGTATAGTGCTAAATAACTAATGTCATATATCAATTTAGCCCAAAAATTTGAAGATATCGGTCTGCCTAAGGACCAGGCTTCGACTGAAAGTCTCCAATCGATCACGGTAGCCACTTCACGTTGACCGAGTCCCATATACATGAAAAAAAAAAAAAAAAAACGAATATGACTCTTTTTCATTATTTTGTTAAATATAGAGTATTTAATTGATTTAATTAATATGTGACATCAGTTATTAATCAACATGTTAATTCCCCTTTTTTTTTTTTTTTTTTTTTTTTTTAAAGTGATGTGCATATGCTGCTTTCTATTTCCTAGAATTGCAATGGTATGGCAGTGGAGTTAGGCGTGGATAGGGATGTCAATTTTTACCGCCCCGTCGGGGCCCCGCCCCGTTAATAACGAATATGGGAACACTTGTTATACCGTTGGGGCGGATATGGATATAAATTTTGTACCCGTCGAGGGTCACGGGGCGGGTAAGGGTTTAATATACATATCCTAGGGGCCCGTCCCCCCCGCATATAACTATATTTAATATATATATATATATATATATTAATAAGTTATTTTAGCGGCTTACCCAATTACTCATCTTTTACAATCATAATTTGGGATGTAAACTTGGTATTAAATTTGCTTTTGTTTTGGTTATGGTGGAAGTTGGAGCTTAGAACTTCTTGTGATTTGGTTGTATTAAACTTTTATTTTTGTTTATTATGTTCTCTGAATTATTTATGTGCATGTTATTTTTTTTTATTTTTATTGGGATACATAATTTTATTTATGTTGTGCCATTCCTAGGCTTTGCACATTTAAATAGCAGGAGTTTAAGTTCCAAAAAGTGGGAGAAAAAAATTTGTTAGCTGGGCGGGCACGGGGGCACAGTATTTCCTAATGGGGTGGGGCTAGATATGAAAATTCAACCCGTCGCGGGTCTCGGGGCGAGCATGAACTTGACAAAAATAAAAAGGGGCGGGGTGGGATTTAGGGAAACCCGCTTCAAACCCGCCCCGTTGCCATCCCTAGGCGTGGACCGGTGGTGTTTGGTACGGAGCTATGATCTTTTTTCATCTATGATTATCAATCACAAAATTTAACCTCTTTTTTTTTTTTTTTAATAAAGAAATTTAACCATTTCTCTATAAAGATAGTAAAAAAAATAAAAATAAAAATAAAATAAAACTAGTGTCATTTTTTGTGTGGATATACTCGTTATAATTTGTGTAATATTTTTATATATAATATGTCGGACAGATGAGGCCTGCACTGTTGAAACACAAATTGCAAATCCCCAGCCAAGTTTTAGAGGTTATCCAAGCAAGTCCAGCCAAGCTTGGCATCTTCCCCAGTCTCTCTTTAATCCATTCATTTTCTTCATATCTATCTAATCTAGAGTATATTCATATACTCATTCACAGTTAGATTACCATCTTCTCATCATAGTAATACATATATACTTTCACATATCATCATATATATATATATAGTTACAGAAACACGACCCCTTTTCTTGGATACGCACGCATGTCCAAGAGAGGAGGAGGAGCCGTGCTGCAAAAGGATGTGCCCTGGAGGGCATCTTCCGGAAAACCCATTCCCAAAATTCACCACTCCCCTGTTCTTCGTCTCTCTCAAAACCCTTATTCCAATTACGCCTTATCTGTCATGAGGGTACTCTCTCTCTCTCTCTCTATATATATATATATATATATATATATGCATACATATAAGAGTTTGTAAATTTATGGCTTCTATGTTCTGGGTTTTGGATGATATGTCGATTCTCTCTATATATACATGTATTATTGTGTATATATAGAATTATGGCTCTTAATTTTTTAATTTTTTTTCACTTAATGGGTTTTGGATGGTAATCCTGCAGCACCCCAATCCAATTGAAAATGGGTTTGGAAGTGAAGCCATAGTGGAAGCAGCAGGGCCGGATTGCATTGTACCAGGACAGACTCCTCCCATTAAATTGCTTGGTTTAAAGGTGTTTTTTCTGTTTGTACCATTAGAAAATAGAATTTGATATATTTCAGTATTTTGTTTGTTATTTGTTAATAGTTATATGAAGAATAAGTGATGGGCTCTTTCCATTTTCTTGTATTTGAAACTATTGAACAGATTGAGGATTGTTGTCTTAAATGAGACCAACTATTTCTGAAATTTCTGCTTATTTATCTGGTGATAGAATCATAGAACAGAAATAACTCATTCTCCATGTGATGCTATGTCAACCAATTAATACTATATCTATTTAACTATATATACATATATATTTGATGTTGCGGCATTTTATCAGTGTCATTTATATTATTATGCATTGATGTTTACCCCAATCACTTTGTTGGTAACATTTTTCTGCTTGTAATTTATTCCTACGGTTATCGGGAGAATATATTCTTACAATTTTACATAATAGCAAAGATGTATTAGGGTGTTGGTTAGGTTAGCTACTAATTGATGGCCGTACCAACATTTTTTGTTTTTGAAGTCTTAAAACCATGTTGCAAAAATCACATGTTTTTAGAAAACACAGTAAGATAATCTATATATTGTTTTAATTGACGTGTGATATTCCAGTTATCAAATTTGTAAGTTTTTTAGTACATATTGGAGGTTATTAGCAATTGTTTTTGTTGAACATTGATGTTTTAACATTTTTCATAAGTTCGAGTTTGATGTGATGGATTTTCGTGATCCTAGAGTTCTCTCCACTTCTGAGCATCAAGGTTGCGGAGCTCCCTAGGCGGTCCCAACCTTGGCAAGCACTAGATACGCCCACTGAGGCTTTCATTCATGTGGAGTAGTTTTCGGTTTCCCATGACATTGCTCATTGTTATATGCCAAGGAATAATATTATTTGCATTTGACTTTCAATGCCTAGCACTTCACCGGTGTTCTGTTATATTAAATTCATCTTTTTGTTGAGCATGTAATTTCTGTTCCTTTTTTTGTGCTCTCATTCTTGGTTGCTCAAGAAGAAAAATTATCGTTTTTTGTATATTTCATGAATTCTATTTCATAAACTTAATTAACTCATAAGATGGTTCTCTCTCTCTCTCTCTATACACACACACACACTAAGGCTGATCCAGAGCAATGCCACTGTTATTGAATTTGGGTACTTATATAGGTACCAAAGGAGGACATCCAAAATGATTTTTCAATTGGATGCTCACTTCTAAAAATGATACGATCACACGACAACTCACAGAATTGCATCATCCCTATTTAAATATACAATTTTCTCACTTTAGTTTGACAGCCTTGTAACTTCTCTTTCTCTCAATTTATAAAGCTCAGACGACGCTGGGTAGTTGAACCGCTTATATAGTCGATTTGTCTTCTTCATATTGTGTGAACAATGAAAAATACTTCCTTGAAAAACCACTTCTGCTTGTCCAGATTGTTCAAATCGGATGTTCAAACAGTGGTGCAGACTGCTGTGGGTGTACAAAGTCAATTGGGCTTGACTCTCTTTTCATTCGTTTGAGATGCTTTGGTTCTCACTATTTATTCTGCTCCACTATATCTGCCGTTGATGATTCTTTCTCCTCCTCCTTTGATTTTTCATCTTTCAATGATCTATCAGATTGGTTTAACTTTTCAAGTCTACACGAAATGATCGAAGGCCAAATTTCATGATATACAATTAGCTGCCACTACTATTCTTTGCAACGTACCTGCTCATTGCTGTGTTTCCACTTTGTGCTTTGGCCTTTGTAGCCCCAACTCCTGTTAACTTGTCTTATTTTTAATCGATTTGTATATTGAAAAAAAAAAAAACTGGTTTAAGGAGTGGTTTTTCCCTTTTAGGATGGGGTTGAGATATGGAAGTTTCCAGAACCTTCACCCCTGCCATCCAATATCTTTTTTTCATATCCTTCCTTAAGAGTATTCGTTGAGTAACATTATAGTAATTCTTAAAATTTGAAACTATAACTAAAATACTTATTTATATATATATTTTTTTATGAATGTTATGTTAGGTATAGAACTTGGCAGACCTGAATTGTCATAATTCACAACTATTTGTTCTTTTCAAATTATAAATACCGTGCGTATTTCTGGCACTAGTCGCTACACATTCTGTTTGTTAATATATTTGGAGCATGATGCTCAACTCTGGTTTTGTATGTACTTCTGTTGTGGATCTTACAGTTAATTCCTGTTCTTCATATGCACAGGTATGGCCCATTAATATTGACTTGAAGTTTATGGAACCGATCGCTACACATTCTGTTTGTTAATATGTTTGGAGCATGATGCTCAACTCTGGTTTTGTAAGTACTTCTGTTGTGAATCTTACAGTTCATTCCTGCTCTTCATATGCACAGGTGTGGCCCATTTATATTGACTTGAAGTTTATGGAACCGGTTGGACGAGAACTCAAATCGATTGGGAAGGTAAAACTACATTTTTAGGCTTTCACATTAATTTTACATTGTTATTTTTGCAATAAATCATTTGCTACAAGAAAACTAAGTCCCATTTTTTGTGATTTTTTAAACAATAACCAATATTTTTTCATGTATATTCATACTAGGTGTTGCTCCTTCTTATCCTTGCATTGTTTGATTGAAAGCTAATCTTTTATCAATCTCGAATCCCACAAAACCAAAGTATAAATCTTTGACAACCAGAGTCAACTACTACTGAGAAATGTCTCTTGTGTTTTTATGCCCTTAGGGTCACCCTTTTACTGTGTATACCTTTTAGTACTACTTGAGATATATTCATTACTTGAGAGTAGAACTGAAATTTCATTTTTAAATTAAGAATCTTTAGTTACCTGGTTTTGCTCTTTTTCTGTTGGGAGTTTTAAAAGTTTAATTTAAGATCAACTACAATAAAAATAATCATCTTAATCCAATGCCCCAGCAAGTGATCTTAAATTTTTAAAAAATATCTATGACTGTGGATGCAGGAAGTCAAAGTTCAAATAGCCAAATTACCTCATTTCGCTCTTTATCCTGAATGTCATTTTTAATTATGAATTTATATGCCATACACTTGCATATTTAATACTTGCGTAGATGTTTTTGATGTATATACTTACCATGCAGATCTTTGTATATAGATGTGTATTTGATCTTGGGGTGCTTTAAACCTTGTGCATTTTTGTAAGTGCCAGTTCTTGTTCAATCTTATAATTATTAGGTTAGATAATTAATTTGATTTTTTAAAATTTGTGTATAATTAGAAATACAATCATAATACCTTTTAAGTTTTAATAGATTTCCTGAGGCTCATCCTGTGGTTTCAGGGCAAGGTTTCTTATGTTGAGCAGGTGTTCGACTTGAAACTGATATATTTTCTTGTTCACTTGTTTGACCATCTAGTTCAACCACCTAAACCGTGGTGTTAAATATAAATAAGATTAAGTTACAAAGAAGTCCTACTTTTAAAGATATAAGAGCATCAAGTCCTACAAATGAACAAACCTACTATCTTTTCATAAATTGTTGTTATTTCATTAAATAAAAGTATTAGCAAGATTGGAGAAGTTTTGAATATGGTAATTAATATCTTACCAAGGAAACAGTCTCTTCGCATGCGGAGGTAAGGCAATGTACTCCCCAGACCCCGGAATGGCGGGAGCATACTTGAATTCGACATCTAGATAATATAGATTTGATTAATTGGAGAAAAAAGAAAAACTTAAATTTGATTGCAAATTTGCTACATCTGAGATAGACGAAACCCTCTTTTGTCACCATATTCTATTTAATTTTAAGTATAATTGAATATATTTTGAATAATAATAGCATAATTAATTATATTATTATATAGCATATTATATATTTAAATTTGTAAAACATGTTCACATTCCCGTCTCCAAGTTTTCATGCCAAGTCAATGTATCCTAAGATTTGGGATCTAGGGAGGTCTGAGTTTGACAATTAGACAGACCTGCACCCGATACATGTAAGCGACTTCATGTAACATATTAATTGACAAAAGGAGACACCAGGACTGACCATCTCGACTGAATAAGACTCCATCATTGGGATTAGCGTGAGATTCTTTTTATAAAAAACAAATTATAAAAATAAAAAAACTAAAAAAAAAAAAACAAAAAAAGAAAGAAAGAAAGAGAAGAGTTTACTGACTACAACTGCTGCATTATTTTAATTGGGGTCTTTCCAAATACCTACGGGTAGTTTGTGGAAGGATTTGCCAATTTAGGGTGATTGTCAACTCATAATACTTCTCTCGTTTTTGTGGCTTGAGTGTTACAAACTTGGGAATGGTATTTGAAATTATTGATTGGCTAGCTTATAGAAAGCTGTTGAAGGGGTAAAAAGAAAAAGTATAAGAAGAAAATTTCAAGAGTTGGCTAATAAGTCTTTCAAGATAAGAATAAGATTGTGCTTGGACTTGGAATGGCATTCATGAAATGACTTCTCATCATTTGTTACTAAATCATGTTTAACATCTATTTAATATGCACCCTAGCCTGATTTTCACTTTTCGAAAAAAGTAATTTCTAATTGCTCCCGCTTTCAAGCTAGAAGGATTTGCCCATGAAGGCAGGCTTTGTTGGCCAACAGATCCCAAATTCCCAAGTTTCCTCAGCCGCTTTGGCGAATTTATTCTTTCATGTCTTTTTCCTTAATTTCCCTGTTGAAGGATTGAAATATTTATGTTGCATCCTCTCTAACAACTAGGGGTGGCAAAGTTTGACACGACCTGCCAACATGACTCAAGTTAAGTGGGTTTGGGTTGATCTTAAACGGATCGACACGATTAACTCGTTTAATTAATCGTGTCGTGTTTGGGTCGAGGGGTTCAACCCGTTTAAGTATACGTGTTATAAACAAATTTCTACTTAAGTTCCAAAATAATTATCTAAACTTATGACTTATAATTTATTTTTTTGTAAACTAGAGATTATTTAGTAATTTGGTTGGATTGAAACTTATATTTTTCTAGTATTAATTGTTTGATTGAGTATTATTTATAATTTAAATAATATAATATTTTATTTTAGTAAATAGGTCATTCAGGTTACACGTGTAACTCGTTCAATAAATAGGTTGGATTAGCGTTGAAGGTTCCTGACACGATTATTAAATGGGTCGTGTTCGGATTGAGCAATTTAGTATGATAACCTTAGGTCAACATGACACGAGCGAATACGAATTGTTACCCCTACTAACAACTTAAGTTGTTAGAGTAGATAATTGTTAACGTTGCATGGTCTCGAGTTCAAATCTCACCGTGATAATTAAAATTGAAACACGTGTTATACCAAAAAGTAGGCCACATGTGAGGGGGCGTGTTGAATGATTTAAATATTTAAGTTGCACCCTCTTTAACAGATTAAGATTTTAGAGTAGATGGTTGTTAAAATGATTCGTTTTCTCTATGCACCCTGAATGTGTTTATTGCATTATTTTCTGTCAATTTTAGAGGCTTTTGCTTAATGAAATGTGAAACTCGGTAGTCAAGTAACTCAAGTATGACTATATGAGTAAGGTAAGGACAGCCAAGTCATTGGAACCATGACGTGTCCTATAGATTGATGGTTCTTTGACCTCTTTTCTTTCGTAAGTGGGTCTAGCAATTGACATAGTTGTGCCAATGATTTTACTTTGCATGTTTTACTGTTGCTTTTATACCCTAGTAAAATTTATGATTATAGATCAGGTATTGATCCCATGCATACAAATGTGAGTGCAAACATGTGCGTAGCACCCGTCCTGAACTTGATTGCCAATTGTTACTCGTGTGCAGTTCATGGATTCAGCTGTTGATCTTATGAACAAATCATTTATTGATCGTTAGCGATTTGGGTTTTCTGTCTACAAAAGTTGCCAAGCAGCGGCATTTTGGAGTTGCTAGTGATATGTACCAACTACTTCCTTGAAGCAGAGCCTAGCCGAGTGAAATGACTGTAGAGGATTCTGATCTCGTGTTATCTTTTTGTTATGTACCATTTTTAGTCTAAATTCTTGGTAACAAACTGGAGTATTGTATAATTGAATGAAAAGGTTTTTATTTTATTTTATTTTATTTAAACTGTTCTTCAGGCTTCTAAAGAAGTTATGCGGATCTTATAATAGAGGTAAACATTTTGTGACCTATGTTTTTCTCTTTTATGTTCTTGTTCTGTTTCCGTGTCAAGTGAATCACATTTAGTCTTATAGCAAACCAGAATATTCCTGTTTAAATAGAATCAAATACTGTTTATTGAAAAAAGGTGGTACTGAAGCAAGACAGATTGTTTATTTGACTTGTGTTGAAGGAATGATTGAATGGGAAATTAGAACGAAACAGAGAGAAGTCTCATTGAGTATTACATTAGTGTGTTGCGTTATCTGTTAAGCAACACTATGGAAGTTTTTGGAAATCCACTGATCTATCCTGTTTTTGCATTTAACTTAGAGCAGGTCTTGCTGCTTCAAACATATGTAAAATTTGACGCACTCAACCTGCTCCAAACATATGTAAAATTTGACGTACGCAAAAATTACACTGGCCTTTCTAAAGGTTTGGATAAATTATACACGAATATAGTGTTGGACCTTTTATTACTTTGAACTCTCTAACAGTATTAAATGATTTTCATACCCTTATCTAATTTAATATAATAAAAAAATATGTCAAACTAAAAGACTATATTACCCTTTTATTTTTTTTTTCCCTATCCTGTAAACACAGTACCTAATTTATTTATTTAATTTTTGAAAAAAAGAAACCTAATTAAATATCATTAACAAATATATGTGTGTGTGTGTAAAATTTAAGAACATAAAATTGGTATGAAAAATGATACTTTGCATTTCATGGTATTTTTGTCATTTTTTTTTTTTGTCAAAAATATAATGTTATTGAGGTCTTTAAACACAATGAAGTGGCAACTTAGTTATTTTTTAAACTATAAGAGCATCTTCAATGGCCCTCAAATGGGCTCTCAAACTCAAAATGTAGATGTGGCCTCTCAAAAGGCCTCTAATATTTGAGATTCTCAAATGTATTCTCAAATGTAGCAACTCTCAAATGGCCTCTCAAACTCAAAATATAACAAGTGGATGAAAATGCATTCTTAAAAGACCTCTCATATTTTGAGATTGTCAAAAGTTGCTAAAATGAAAATAAGGCACACCAATGAGCTCTCAAAACATAGAATGGTTGTTGTGTCAAAAAATAGCATTTTGGATGAAATGCACCATTGGAGCTGAATTGCAAAAATATAACATTTTGACACTATAGCTCCTCTCAAAATATAGATTTGACATGTAAATATAGCATTTTGTATTGGAGATGCTCTAAGGGATGTCGTTGAAACGCTTTACTCATATATAATTTGCCCAAATCAAGGGAGATCGGTATAATTTATCCTAAAAATTATGAATTATATATATATTTTGTATTTAATTTAATTAATTAATTAATTTTTTTTTTGTCATTGGTAAGAAATTCACACACATATCACTCATACACCCACTTTGCTCCTTTGGAGATTCAAACCCTCACCATTCATTTTGAAAGATAGAGGAGATACCATTGGACCACATTATAAGGATCTTCTCGTAATGCATCTCTCCAAACTGAAACTAAAGATTAATATTAAGATACGTCATTTAAGACCCCTTACTTACACTACATGTTTTGGGACCAAACGGACGTTAACAACAGACCTTTTCAACCTCCCTATCCGTTAGCATAATGCTTCCATCTCTCTATCACTCTCCGTCCGCCGTCACGGACCGTCGTTGCTGTTGTTGTGGATGAAAGTAGCATTTGCCGTCTCTGCAGATCGTTTCTAGTAGGGGTGAGCAAATAATCCATTAATTCGTCAATCCAGTCCGAACCAATCTGATCCGTGTGGTTCGGTTCAGTTTTCAGATCTCATGGTTCGGTGATGGTTTGGAAAATTTTCAATCCGGTATTCGTGGTTCGGTTAACGGATTGGCCCCTGAAAAAACCGATCCGAACCGTTAACCGATTCGAACCGAATCGTTGCCAATCCGAACCGTTAGTCAATCCTAACCGAACCGTGAATAATATATTATATATATATATATACACACACACACAATATTGAATATAAGTATACTTATTACCGTATTTCTTTTTTCTTTTCTTTTTTAATTCATTATTCTAACCCTAGGTCCCAAATAAGTCATTACTCTCATCTGGCATCTTATTAGTCATCACAGCCGCGCCTCTCTCGCCTCTTCTCTCTTCCCCCTCTTCTCTAGACTCTAGTTATCTTTGTCGTTGTTACAATCTTCACTCTTCACCTCCGTTTTTGTTCACTCTTCACCTCACAATCTCTCGCCTCTCAATCCATTGTTCACCAGATTTGAAGCAACGGCGACCTCTTCGAGTGGATCTACCTCTTTTCTGGTGAGTTCACAAAATTTTTTGTATGGATCTTCTTATTCTCCTCTTCTCTGAACATTTTTTGTAAATAACATCAATATTTTCTGTTAATCACCATAACACAGTGATGGATCTTCTTATTCTGGAAGACGACACCACCGACGGCCATCCCGTGGCTGAACTGTAACTGTGTGGCTTTGGGTTCCACTGTGTACGCCATCACGGAAGGTTCTCGTATTTGTTCGGTGAACACCGCCGATCTCTCAGATCGCTGGAGTGCGATTCAGGCCAGTGCTAGTAGACCTTCAATTTATTTTCCTTTGTCAAGATAGGGAATCCATTGCCCTAACCCTTCCCAAGATGTAAAGTTAAAGTTTTTCATTGGAAAATAGACCCATATGAAACTCTATCTCGGATTGAGTAAGTGTTTTGCTTTTTCTGAAATTTTGATTCTTTGTGTTTTTTTTTTTTTTTCATTTAGGGTTTCCTTGCTGCCATGGACTCTTATTGATTTTGTATTCATATTTTTTTTTTAAAAAAAATGAACAAGATTGACACAGTCCAATCCGCATAAACCGAACCGATCCGATTCGTTACTTCACGGATCGATTTGGTTCGGATTGAAGGCTCCCACAGATCGGTTCGGTTTCAATTTTTGCCAATCCGTGGAGACCGATTCGGCTTGATCTTTATCCCCAAACCGAAACGATCCGAACCGTGATCAGGCCTAGTTTCTAGCGTATCAATCACTCTCTCTGTCTACTTCACTCTTTCACCATCTATAGAAAGATCGCCGCTGCCGTGGGCCATCGTCGCCGCTGTCTCTACAAATTGTTTCCAAGGAATCAACCACTACATTTTCCCAACAAAATCCAACAGAATTGGCGGCGCCACCACCATCTCCATAACCGGCCACAACCACTAGCAGCTATTTCACTCCGGCAAATGAACCACCACCAGGGACGGATCCAGTAAGTTGTGGGATGGAGGGGGGCAAAAGTGAATTTATTGTAATTTTTTTTGTAATTTTAGGGGGGGGCAAAGTGAAAATTTTATAGGTATATAATTGAAAATAAGAAAACTTAGCGCTATATAACAATATTAAAAAAGAAAAAAAGAAAAAAAAAATCAGTGGGGGCAATTTTGCCCCCATTGACTTCAATGTGCCCTCGTCCCTGACCACCATTACAATCTATAGCTTCACCACGCTATCTCACCCCACAACCACCGTCATCATCTCACCCCACCACCACTAAAACCCATAACCGACGATGATTTAGTGGTATTCGGGCTAATGATCTCCACAATTGTTTGTTAGTAACCTAGTGAGAGAGGGGAAACGTCACGAGTGAGGGAGCACGATATGGTCTAGGTTGCAAAGGTCTGTCGATAACGTTGGTACAAAAAGGGTATAGTGTAGGGGACAAAAATCATGTAAGTAAGTGGTTTCAAATGATGTGTCTTAATATTAACCTTTGGATTTGGAGATGATGCATCAAGAGAGGATCCGAATCCTTGGGCCATAAGACCCTTGGTCTAAAAATTATGTACTACAGTAACTAGGTTTTTACAGGGACTTTTTTATTATTATTTTTTTATTTTCCTAGTTGATACTCACACACCACTCTTCAATGAAAATGTTTGCACTTAGTAGGATTCGAACCAATACCATGCCCGGGATGAAAAAAAAAAAAACTCAAAAATATGTCTTAAAATCAAATGAAAATAAGCCACGTTATTTCTTTCCATACCAATTATGTGTTTGAAAATAACAATGAACTCAAAAGAGAAAATATGAGTGTAAAATGCATATATCACACTCTTTGTGTGGCAAACACTCATACAATATCAATTTGTGCAAATAATTTCAACTTGATAGATTTTAGATAGACTTTGTCTAAATTACCCTTATGGGGACCATTTATACTTTATTTTTAAAAAAATCATTTTGTGATATGGCAAAAAAGGACAACACTCCTAAGGTGTGAAAAACACTCCTTGGCTGATTATATATATATATATATATTTCCAAATAAAAATTGAACACTCATCTATTTTTATTTTTTCTAATAAATTTTAAATATATTTGTAAGAGCATGTTTGTTCTCCCCTCCCCCTTCATCTCTGTAAACGATTTGAAAAGAAAAAACGGATTTGAATGCTGATACTGGATGGGAGAGAAGTCACGATTCCCGAAGAGAACTGATGAGTTTATTTTCTTGATCTCAAGTTTGCTTTCATTAAAGCAAGCCCATTAGACCAGGCCCTGGGCCTCAGAAGAGCGATAAACATAGATCGGTGCTAGGGTTCGGACAACGGAGCCACCGGAGGGATGGCTGCTGCTTTTGTCAATCGGACGCTATGGCCACCACAATCACCTACGCAGCTGAAACTATGGCCGAGAAGGCTATTGTCTGAATCTGGCTGCGAGATTCTTGAAAGCCTCTGGTAGTGGTGGTCTGACTCCTGATGGAATCAAATCCTTGTCATCATCAATGAGCATTCAAGGCTACCAGCAGAGTCGCCAACTTGCTTTCTGCACGATTGGAGACCCTTCATGGACCGCCATACGAACAGGTTATTCCTACACTAACCTCGTCAAGAAAGATAGTCTAAAATGCTAGATGATGTACACTAGCATTTGGTGATATAAGTTGCTCGTCTTTTGATAGTAATTTGTCTAAAATGCTAGATGATGTACACTAGCATTTGGTGATATAAGTTGCTCGTCTTTTGATAGTAATTGCTGGCATTTTGATAGTGGTTCCTCTATCCATGCGACAAATGATAGAACATTGTTTACAAGGTTTGAGGAATATGATGATGGTTATGGTCTATGTTAATTTTGGTGATGGCAGTCAATATAGAATAGATGGCAAAGGTGAAATCAAATTTCCAGGTGTTGGTGAGTTGAAAAATGTTCATGTGTTGAGGGTGTTAGGATATGTGTGCCCTAGCATAGTAAATTCTAATTTTGGATTGTAAAAGTCATGGTTTTTTATCTAGATATTATTATTAAAGCATTATACAATTGGTGAATGGAATGTATTATTTTTCGATTCATTATGGAATTGATTGTGTCCACTTGATTACAAAATATATTTATATGTATGTAATGGCAATTAATACTATGTTATAAATTAGTAATCACAAATGGTTTAAAGTCGGTAATTATGGATGGACATTTAATTAGTTAAGACTTAAACCGAGTCCACGATAGATTGAGATATATTGCGAGAGCTGTCGTATGCAATTGCTCTCTATCACAGTCATGGCTTTTGACTAACAAGCATGAGAGAAGTATAGACTCTTTTATTAATTAATAATTACTTTGATTTGTTCGGCGGATACCTCGAGATCCTTAGATCGACACTTTGGGTAGTTATGTAATTAATAATTAGAGGTCTATATTCTCAATATTTGCATCAGTGTTATTTGTATTTATTTTGTTTTGATTATGGTTGATCACAAATTAAATTCGAAGGCCTTCATATGTTTTAGACAAATGTTTTCTATATATATTTATTTAATAAATTATTATTATTTTTTGTCAAATAAATATTTTTTTGTGATCGAGCCGGAAATAATCAAAGGTAAAAAAATAATTATATTAATTATGTTGTCGGATTGATGGCTTTAATTATCCGATAAATAATTAAGCATAGAGGGGTCAAAGTGCAACATTGACTTAGAGGTTATTTACTATTTAATTGGAGTGCAATTAATTTCTTTTAGTGGAGTAGAAATTAATTTATAAATTAATTGAATTGCGTCCATGGTTTAATGGACCGGACCAATTATTAATTTATAGGAGCCAAGAAAATAGTAAGCCCAAAAGGATTCTCACCAATAGCCCAAGTTGATATTGGAGTCATGTTAGAATTGAGAAAGTTGAATTAGAGATGGAGAATGATTTATTGTTTCCTTATTCTTATTTTTATTTTGCCTATATATACATGAGTTCATGTATATTTTAGGGGTGACTTTTAGAACAAGAAAAAAGAATACACTTTCTCTCTCTAGATTTTAGGGTTTTGTTTTCTCTTCTAAAGGAGGCCACCACAAGCCTAGATTCCAAGGTCATTCATCAAGGCGTATTGGTGATTCCTAAAGGGAAGATAATAATCAAGAAGAAGGAGAAAGGATCTTGCTAAAGGGATCTACAATAAGTGAGAACATTCACTTTAGAGGAAAGTTCAAAAGGTTTACTCAGACCTTTGATGTAAGTATTCAATCTGTTTATTGAATTATACATCATCTTTTATTTATCTTTGCATAAAACTTGTCTCTATGTGATGAATCAATATCCATGATTGCAAATCCCTCAAAAGTTTTAAAAACTTGCACGTTTCCCAATAGAGGGTTCAGTTGGAAATTAATTGAGTATTAGTAAGTTTTGTGATGATGGTTTTGAAGTGGATTTTACTCAACAGGGTTGTTTTGTAACCAACCAACAGGGTGTGTGTGTGTTCTGAAGGTAATTAGAACTTCTCGTGATATTTATGTAATGCAGCCATATCCACTGTTTTTTATGGTACCTGCTGGCTTCTTGGTTGCTGAGGGCAAAAAAGAGGTGTCCCTTGTCAAGCTTACCACTGCTACAATGGAGGAGCAAGAGCGGGAGGTGGAACCAAAGGACGACAATGGTACTACTACTAATGATGATTACTATGACTTGTTGAGTTTTGAAGGGAAGAAATTAGTATTGAGGACGAAGATCAAGAAGAGTGATCTTTGTCTTCCATGTGAAGGAGGGGACCTCCTCTCATCAGAGGATACCATCTGCTTTGGTTCCTCTCGTGGTTGGTTGCTTGGTTCCTCTGGTGGTTAGTTTTCTGGTCCTCATGACACTGCTCATTGTATTATTTAGGTGCTGAAGAATAATATTATTTGCATTCGACTTTCACTTCGTAGCACTTCACTGGAGTTTTGTTACATTAAGTTCAATTTTTATTGAGCATGTAATTTTCAGTTCCATGTTTTGTGCTTTCATTCATGTTTGTTCAAGTATAAAACTTATTGTTTTTAGTATATTTCGTATGCTACTTAGTTAACTCATAAGATGGTTTTCTGCTACTTAGTTAAATTATAAGATGGTTTTCTCTTTCTCTCTCTATATACAGTATACACACACAGTCACTGAATCTGATCCAGAGAGATGCCACTGTTATTTAATTTGGGTACTAATATAGGTACTCAAGGGGGACTTTCATAACTAGTCTGATGTATTTCTTAAGACTTAAGTGTATTCTGTAACATTGTAGTAATTCTTACAATTTGAAAACAGAATCATTAGTGATAGACAATTATCTTTTTTCGAGCTCTCTATAATTTACTTTATTTAATCACCGTGTCTGCTCCATAAGAAAGTTCACTTTCTATTTGACTCAGACGAATTCGAGTTGGGGATTCTCCATCTGCTGTTGTTCTTTGAGGAGGAGGAGAACAAGTTCTAGGTCTTTTTATTCAAGTGCCATGTTGGAATTTGAATTGTTTAGCTTTGTAGCTCACTAGACAATGGTATGCATCAATTTAGAGTGATGAGTAGCATTTGATCAGGCTTTAGTTGAGTGGGTTGATTCTTGTTAAGCACCAACAAACCTCCTCTAAGTTTAGTTAGTTGACATCAACTTAACCAACCATCCTTAACTCTAGTTGAAAGAGAGAAGTCATGATTATAACCCACAAACACTGCACAAAGCATTCCACAGATTCCCACTGATTCACATTGAAATTCAACTTATAACAAAAGTTGCCTTGGCCGGCTGAAAGTGAAACTCCTCCAATATTTGTTCCTCCTCCTTAGGAAAATCAGACACTTATTTTATTGAAAAACCTGTAAAGCTGCAGAAGATCCCCAGACGGCTCTACCAAATATTTTTACATGAATAGAAGAGTTCGTAGACAAGTACTCTTTCATTTTCTGCTGAATATTTGGTGGGGTCGATGGCTGCATGTTTAGGAGTACAGGTCTCCCTTTCCTGTTTCTGAAGTCTTAAAGCCATGGTGCAAAAATCATGTGATTTAGAAAGCACAAGGAGATAATCTATATATTGTTTTAATTGACGTGTGATATTTCCACTATCAAATTTGTTAGTTTTTTGAGTCATAGAAGATATTGGAACTTATTATCAGTTGTTTTCGTTGAACATTGATGTTTGAACTTTCTTCTTAAGTCCAAGTTTGATGGGATGGATTTTCTTGATCCTAGAGGTCACTCCACTGTGGAGCATCAAGCTTCTGGAGTTCCCTAGGCAGGCATGAGATACGTCCGGATGTATGCCCACGGAGGCATTCATGCATGTGTAAGGAGAGACTCCTCCTCCTCTTCTTCTTTTTCTAACTTATCTTCGCTTCTTTTGTTCTTACTCCCTTCTCCTCCCTATCACTCTCCCTTACCTCTTTAGGGTCTTCTCTTTTGTACATTTCTCTGATTTCTCAAATATGTACCTTAACCTATCTACTCTCTTAAATATCTCTAACCTATCCACACTCTTCAATATCTTATGTTTTTCTCCATCCTCTTTTCTTCTCTTTTCTCTGTTGAAATATATCTCTGATATACTATTATCTTCTTCTATTTATGTTATATGAATTGACTTACAACATAAACTAGGGTAAATTCATATGTACTGAAAATTAGTCCCTGGAGGTAACTGGTGCAGTAATTTGTCCCCAAACATATTGTATATGGAAATAGATGCTATAAATTCGGTACATAAGGGAGTATGGAAAACGATTTGCTGTTCATGAATTATGAAGATGCTGGTTAGAGACCCAGATTGTCTTGTTTGAATTATTTTTACGGAGCATGTGGAGAAGTTTTCTGGTCCCCATGACATTGCTCATTATTCTGTTTATGTGCTGAAGAATAATATTATTTGCATTCGACTTTCAGTGCCGAGCACTTAACTGGTGTCCTGTTATACTAAGTCATTTTTTGTTGAGTATGTAATTTTCTGTTCCTTGTTTTGTGCTTTCATTTTTGTTTGCTCAAGTAGAAAACTTATTGTTTGTGGTATATTTTATGAATTAATTAACTCTTATGATGGTTTTCTATCTCTCTCAACACACACACACACACAGTCACTGACTCTGATCCAGAGAGATGCCGCTGTTATTGAATTTGGGTACTAATATAGGTACTAAAGGAGGACATCCAAAATGATTTATCATTTGGATACTAACTTCTTATGTATAACTCATTGAATTGCATGATTCCTCCTAATTAAATATATAGTAATTTTCTCACTTTAGTTTGACAACTCTTTAACTTCTCCAGTTGAACCACTTAGATAGTCATCCTGTCTTCTTCGGATTGGGTGAACCCAAAAAAATGCTTCCTTGAAAAACCACGTCTGCTTGTGCAGATTGTTCAAATCTGGATGTGCTGTTTTTTTTATATTGAAAAAGAAGAAGACAGGTTTAAGGAGTGGTTTCTCTCTTCTAGGATGGGGTTGGGATAAGGAAACCATATCCGGAACTTTCAACCCTGCCATCCATATATATATATATTTTTCATATCTAGTCCGATGTCTTTCTTAAGTGTATTTTATAACATTATAGTAATTCTCTGAAATTGGCACTTTTTTTAATGAATGTTTTGTTAGGTATAGAACTTGGCAGGGCTATATTGTCATAATTCACAACTATTTGTTCTTGCAAATTATAATTGTCATGCATATTTCTGGTACTAGTCACTACACATTCTGTTTGTCAAAATATTTGGAGCATGATGCTCAACTTTGGTTTTGTATGTATATCTGTACTGGATCTTAAAGTTCATTCCTGCTCTTCGTGTGCACAAATTTGGCATATTAGTATTGACTTGAAATTTATGGAACCAATTGGATGTGACCTCAAATCGATTGTGAAGGTAAAACTACAGTTTTAGACTTCCACATTAGTTTTACATTGTTATTTTTGCAATAAATGTTTCTCTACAGGGAAAAGTAAGTCCCATTTTTTGTAAAGAAAAAAAGAAAGAGAAGAGTTTTTTTTTTTTTTAAATTTATTTTTGTAAAAAAGAAAAAGAAAAGAAAGAGGAGTTTCCTGACTACAATTTCTGCATTATTTTAATTAGGGTCTTTCCAAATGCATACGAGTAATTTGTGGAAGGATTTGCCAATTTGGGGTGATTACACTCATAATACTTCTGTGTCTTGAGAGTGTTAGAAACTTGGGAATGATTTTTTAGGGTATTGAGTGGCTATAGAAAGCTGTTGAAGGAGTAAAAGGAAAAATTATGAGAAGAAAATTTCAAGAATTGGTTGATATAATCTTTTGATGATAAGAATAAAGGTGTGCTTGGAATGGCATTCATGAAATGACTTCTAATCATTTGTTATTAAATCATGAAGGCTGGCTTTGCTGGAATGGATCCCAAGTTTCCTCAACTGCTTTGCCCAATTTATTCTTTTAATGTATTTTTTCTTAATTTACCCCTGTTTCTCTTCTTTGTCTAGATCTATAGTTTTCATATTTATGTACATAAAATAAAAAAACATAATTTATTCATTTTATTTTCTCTCTGCACTCTGAAAGTGTTTATTGTATTATTTTCTATTTCAATTTATTCATTTTGGTTTCTTTTATCATGTGGCAGTTATGGAAAGGGAGAAATGATTGGTGTTTCAACAGTAAGCAATGGTCTCCTCAAGACATTATTGATCGTGCCTTGTTCAATTTTCATGAGTTCTGGGCAGTTCATTATCGGGAGCACCCCTTCCACAGACCCGAGTCTTTCTCTATCAAAAGGAGTTCCAAATGGCAGCCCTCTATGTGATGATGCAAAAATTGAAGCTGGAACCTGAGACAGTTGAAATTCTTTAGAAGCTGATAATTAGGATACGGGTTTGGGATGCTGACTCATAGTTGGTCCTGATCACGAAATCTTGATGGTATTTAGATGTAATCAGTTTTTAGGTTATTCCACATCCTTTTGAGAAAATCTTCTATACTTTTCAATGATGCTTCCAAAAATAATTGAGTTTAAGAGAAACAGTTGAAGGGATTGAAGTAAGTGTCTAGTAAAAAGAAAACAAAAAAGTTACTTTCTTATTTTGTTGATGCCAGTTTCTATGGGTTCTAATGATGAGTTTTGTTTTTCTTAAGAAACTGTTGGGTGTATAAATGACATTTCTTGTAGGAACTGCTATTTCTTGTAGGAACTGCTATAATATATTTTCCTTCTTAGAAACCTTCTGCTTGTGCTTATTCACAATTTAACCTTTTTTTGTTCACAAACCACCTCTGTTTTTTTCGAATTTTGGGCATCCTTTAATATTATCCTGGTATGGTTTATTTATTTATTATTATTATTATTATTTTTGGGTAAAGATTTATCTTGCTATAGTTGCAAATAAAGATATGGACATTTCAGACAGTGTCATGTAATGCACATAATTTATGTGGTATGTAAAAATGAGTTGCCCACCGTTAGAAAGACAACAAAAAAATAACAAAGATGGACTCAAGAATCACTTGATTCGGAGTTCGAATGGCAAAGATATCAAGTTCTAAAATCGCTTCTATTACACATCAATTTCAATAAAAAGAAGTAATATTAAAATGTTTCCAGCTAATTATGTTTGGAGTTGAGAACTAAAAAGATAAAGAGCCACCCGCATCCCCAAGTATTCATAGAATAGATATTGAAAAAACAGATACGTGGATTTTAAACGAGTGGAAAATGAAAAAGAACCCACTCTAGTCCAAAGTAGATGCTCCCTCTTGGCATTGAGGGCACCTGTTTTGTTGATTAATCTAGAACTCATGCATGAGACGTTAAAAACATCATCCCCTCTCAGTAGATACTCTGGCTCCCTCTTGGCTTTGAGGGCACGTGTTTTGTTGATTGATCTAAGGCTCATGCATGAGATGTTTGTAATGGCATCCCCTCCTACAAACATTTAATGGTTTACAGAGATAAGATGAGAAAGTGGGATGGTTTTGTGTATGTACCATCTATCTTTTTATACAGAGTTCAATTCACACACATTGCAGTGAAACACAGTATATTGTATCCATTCATCGCAGATAAAGATAGATATGTAATGACAAGGTTTAGCAAAATCATCACATGGCTATACTTGTGAATTCTGTGACCAGCTACGTGAATTAAGAGAAAGCCTTAAAAGTAAAACAGCCTTCAGGTCATGGCAGATAAAGAGCTGAAGGCTATAGCAGATAAAGAGCATACCTTACTCTTTATCTGCCATGGCCTGAAGGCTGTTTTACTTTTAAGACTTTTTCTTAATTCACATGGTTGGTCACAGAATTCACAAGTATGGCCATGTGATGATTTGACTAAACTTTGTCATTACATATTTATCTTTATATGCCATAAATGAATACAATATATTTCATTGTAATGTGTGAATTGGACTATTAAAAGATAGATGGTACATATACAAAATCATCCCACTTTCTCATCTTATCTCTACTAGCTAGAGTATGCAGCATAAGTAACATGAACAACAAAACAACACTAAAAAAACGTAAATTAGGCTGATGTAGTAATTATATGCCAATTCTCAGAAAAACTTTTCTAATTTAATATATTGGATATCAACACCACCAAATGATTCAAATGCTTGGAACCATCCACAATTTTTATTAGTAACAGTGCATCATTTAGATATATAATTTCTATTACAATTCCAACGGGTTCCGCCAACAAACGCTCAATAAATGTTCCCTGTAATTTAGGGATGGATCCAATACCTGTACTCTAAACCATTAAATGAATAGAGGGACGTCACGAAGAGAACATTGATGAGTTTGTTCTCTGAAAGCCCATTAGATCAGGCCCATAAACATGAGAGGTGCTAGGGCTCGGACAAAGGAGGGAATAGCAATGAGATAGGTGCGCGGGTTCGGACAAGGGTTCTTCTTCTTGCATAGAAGCAGCGGCTGGTGGCAGAGTCGCCGGAGAAATGGCTGCTTTTGGCCGTCGGATGCTTTCCTGTCACAGACCACCATCACCAACGTTACTGAAACTATGGCCAAGAAGCTGTTGTCTGTGTCCGGTGGCGAGATTCTTCAAACCCTCCGGTAGTGTTGGTCTGACCCTTCACGGAATCAAATCCTTGTCATCGGTAAGATCAATGTCGTCATCGCTTGTAACGTCTGAACACCCGATTCAAGATATCATTAACAGTAATCACAAATGCACGGTGATGACCATACAAGACTACCAGAGTGATTTCTACAGGGACCTGGTAAAAAAAGAGAGTCTAAAATGCTTGGTTACACACACTGCATGTAGAACACTTGGTTGGATACTTGATAGTGGTTGTGCTAGGCATTTGACAGGTGATAGAACATTGTTTACCACATTTGAGGAAGTAGATTCAGGTGATTCTGTTGTTTTTGGTCATGGCAGAGGATCTAAAGTATCTGGTAGAGGTAAAATCAAATTTCCATTTGTTGGAGAGTTGGAAAATGTTCAGTATGTTGAGGGTTTACCACTCAATTTCTTGAGTGTTAGTGAGTTTTGTGGCGATGGTTTTCAAGTGAAGTTTACTAAACATGGTTGTTTTGTAATCAACAAACAGGGTGAGTGTGTTCTGAAGGGATTTAGAGGTCCTAATGATCTTTATGCAATATATTCAGATCCACTGTTTTTTATGGTACCTGCTGGCTTCTTGTTTGCTGAGGGCCAAGAAGAAGTGTCCTTTGTCAAACTTACTACTACTACAATGGAAGAGGAAGAGGACAATGACAATGACAATAGTACTACCAATGATGATGATTACTATGACTTGTTGAGTGTTGAAGGGAAGAAAATAGTATTGAAGAAGAAGATCCAGAAGAGTCATATTTGTCTTCCATCCGAAAGTGATGTCTCACCAGACGATGCCATCTGCTTTGGCTCCTCTCGTGGATGGTTGGCCTTTATCTACCCTCGCAATTCTTCCCTCTACCTCTACAACTCATTTTTCGATGCCCCCTACATCCTCCTCCCTTCTCTCATATCATCTCCACGCCAAAGTAGAAGATGCAGCAAAAATTCCTCCTCCTCTCCCTCCTCCTCCTCATCCTTTAATAATAATAATATTACTACGGAATACATGATTCCACAAAAGATTCCTGCTGTATCTTCTGAACATGGAAGTGAAGATTGCTTTAAAAAGTTTGTTTCTTCCTCACTCCCTCCATACATTGACAATTTTATAGTGATGACCATCCAAGGCTACCAGAGTCATCATCAGCTTGCTTTCTGCTGGATCTTTGACTCTTCATGGACTGCCTTAGACGGAACACTTGCTCCCTACAGGGACCTCATATACTTTGAAGAGCACGAACTATTTTATGCTTTGGGCTGTTGTGGTTTAGAAGCTTGGGATCTTTGCAATCCTGACTCTCCAAAGAGTACTTTCATAACTGAATCCATGCCTCCCACAATGAGTTTTGTCAATGAGGTGGTGGAATGCTGTTGTGCCAGTAGTTATCTAGTGGAGTCTTTAGGGGATCTGCTAATGGTTAATAGGTACTATTCTAAGGCTGTTTGTAGCAAGACCGTTGCATTTGAGGTGTATAAGCTGGACTTTGTTCGGAAGGATTGGGTATATGTGCCAAGCTTAGGCGATCGTGTATTGATTGTTGGTGCCAATCATGCAGTCTCTCTCTCGTCCCATGGTTTCCCTGGTTTGATCCCCAATTCCATTTACTTCACTGCCTATGACACTTCTATATCTAATGATTTGGGTTTCTTCAACTTGGAAGATAAAAGCATCTATCGGCGCCACTTGGGGAAGAAGAAGGTTAAATTTTCTCCTACTTGGATTGTACCTTAGCTATGATTCTAAGTGAGAAAAAGGTTGATATCATCCACCCATTTTGTTTAACCTTGGATTACTAATTAACCCAGTTAACTCTCACTTGTGCTTCACTGTTTTCCTCAATCTTTTATTCTCATGTATTAAGTAGAAGCTATTACAAGTAATAGTTACGGCGAGGGAACTACATGGTCGGTGTTGTCACCATATATAATATAATATACTATACTTTGTTGGTGCTGTGCGCAACTGTTTCCGTATAGTTTACGATTATGGTGATATTCAGAGCAAAGTCGATAACTAATTTAATTCTGTCATTGATTGCCTAAGTGTACATGGTTGCTTTGTTTTTTATTCTCCTTTTTCCTTTTCTCCCTTTTAGTTAGTTAGTTAGTTCTGAAGTTAAATTTATATAATTACAAAATTAGCACTTAATTATGTGACCATAATCCATTTTATAATTAATTGGATATTAAGATCCATATGAACCCCCTCTGTGTTTAAAGATTGAAATGAAGTCTGATTAATGTAGGATTGTAGGCCATGATAAGGTAGTCCTCATATTGTAATATCTCGTTGAAGTTCAAGTTACAGGTTATTAGGATTTGGTTGTAGATGCATTAGTCTTCCCGTCTTCTTGTTGCAGGATTCCCTTCTTCATGTAATTAACATTTAGGGTCAAAATAAAAGCTTAATTGGCTGATGAGTTCTTTGTAATCGTTTTTCCATTATTTTGACGAATTAATGTTGAAGCTTTTTGGGGTTTTGTTGTTGATTACCTACCCGGTGGTATTATGACCTTCCTCATCTCTCTATTCTTGAAATGGTACATGTAGCTCTAGTTGCTTAGTTTCATTTCATTAGGCAGGCATCTTGTACCAGTTTGCTTTAAAGTCATTCATTTAACCTAGAGGAGGCCTCATATCAGGATCATTAGCAATGGAAAATACTCTATTTTTGAGCTCCCTATAATTAATTACTGTTGTTTAATCTGTGTGTCTGGTCCATAAGTTCAGTTTTCCACGACTCAGACGGCTATTGGGGATTCTCAATCTGCTGTTGATGTTGTTCGTTGAGGAGGAGAAATTGGTCTAGGTCTTTTTATTTAAGTGACATGTTGGAATTTGTCTTGTTTAGTTTTGTAGCTCTGCAGGCAATGGCATGCATCAATTTAGAGTAACGAGTAGAATTTTGATCAGGCTGCAGTTGAGTGGGTCGATTATTGTTAAGCACCAACAAACATCTGATTAAGATTGCAGACTATCTTATACAATCCCACGATCATTCAATGGACGATAGTTTTGCGAGGAAGACAGGAAATTTTTCATTCAAAATAGCTTGGAATGTTTGTAGATCCCATGTTGCTAAGGTTCCTTGGTGCTCCCTTGTTTGGAATGGTTGCAGGCCTAAGAGGATCTCAATTTGTACTCTTTTAAGTATTGCATCATTCTTCTAATCCTTCTTTCTTTAATCTGAGAAGGAGAGGTTTACCGATTCCATCTATTTGTCATAATAGTATTTTTATCACCCCATTAACGGCCAATTGATGGGAGATCCTTATTTGCCCTTACGATAAAAGTTTTCAGAACCTATAGAGAATTATATGAGTTATATCTATATATGCATGCTATAGGGGTGTTAAATGCCCGCAAGCCCCCTACATTTGGTCTGAGAGAAACAGAAGACTCCATTCCATCAATGAATCTAAGTATGGAAGCTTGCTGATTTTATTGCTATATATTGATTTCTGTTTTCATTTATTAGTTTTTGTAGCTTCTAGCTCTTGAATTTTATTTTGTTTGACATGCATAACAAACAGAACAATGGTATGTAATGTAATGGTCGTGCCAGCTATAAAGACGAATTTTATATAATGTTAACAAGGAGAGTATATATATAAATTGATCCAATCCCCACACACAATATATATATATATATATATAAACACGCACACATTATCATGTGCTTTATCGTCCTTGCTCGAAGGGTGGTAAGGTTTTTATGATTATAGATCATATATATATTGACACCATACATAAAAATGTGGGTGCAAATATCTGCTTAGTTAGCACCCATGATCAAGATTGTTAATTGTAACTGTGTGCAGTTCTTGGATTCAACTGTTGATCTCATGAACAAATTATTTATTGATCGTCAAGTAAATCATATGTAGTCTTCTTGCAAACCAGAATATTTCAGTTTAAATATAGAATCAAATTCTGTTTAATTTCAAAATTCAAAAGTGAAATAATTCAAACTAAAACTTCAGATTATGGAAGCTTTTGTAAATCCACTGATTTCTTTTGTTTTTGCATTCAAGTCAGAGCAGGTCTTGCAGGTTCACCCAAATGTAAAATCCAGCATACTTAAAAATTAAAGAGAAAATAGTATGTGTGTCTATTCCAAAATAGTTATTTAACACCCCATATTCAGTTATTAACACAAAATATCTAAAAATTCCACTAATTTTTTAAAAAAATCATCATATCACCCTCATTTCGTTTGTTTGTCCTTAGAAAACTTTTAAATATTATATGATCAAAATGTTCATTCCCCGCTTTGAATTTGTGATCTACAATTCGTCAAGATAATCTCTCTTGTACTTTTCGGATATGCTACAAAATTGTTGGGATTGTAAAAAGGATATTGGACACCTTTTGCCCAATCACTAGTGATAAATTTAGCCCTCGAATTCTTGACTTCAAACTACTACTCTCTGTTAATCAAAATAAATGATTTTTCCCTGATACATACACTATACTATACTGTACAAGGGAAGAGAGAGAAGTCACAAATCACAATTACTAAAAGAACAATAATGAGTTTATTTTCTTGAAAACTACTTCTTAAGTTTGAAACCTTTTATTTTTTTATATTATTATTTTGACATGGGAATCTCGTAACTACTCGCTCTTTAAACTTGTAACTACCCGATAAACTCTTGGCTACTTACTCCAGCCCTACAATGTAAATAGTAGGATAAATCGAGAGTAATAATGAAAATAAGACGAATGTTTTATTTTATTATTGGATCACATAGGAGGGTGAGTAACTTCACCTTAATTACTCGGTGAATAACTAATTATTATCCTTTATTAAATCATCATTAATTACTCTTTTTGTTTCTGTGAGTCACAATTCCCAAATATCTATCAGGAGCATAATACATGCAATAATAGAATTTTAAAAAAAAAAATTAGCGCCAATTAAAAGAATTGGTTTTTCGATTCTCTACCAATTAAAAGAACTGATTTTCCGATCAAAAGAGAGAAGTCACTAGTCGCGAAGAGATCAATAGTTGTCAAGTTTGTTCTCATTAAACCAAGCCCATTAGATCAGGACCAGGCCCTCAGAAGAGCGATAAACATAGATAGGAGCTAGGGTTAGGGTTTGGACAAGGAGCCGGCGGAGAGATGGTTTCTTTTGTCAATCGGACGTTATGGCTACTACAATCACCTATGCAGCTGAAACTGTGGCCGAGAAGCTATTGTCTGAATCTGGCGGCCACATTCTTGAAAACCTCTGGTAGTGCTGGTCCGACTCTTCATGGAATCAAATCCTTGTCATCGGTGAGATCAATAACCATTCAAGGCTATCAGCAGAGTCGACAACTTGCTTTCTGCACGATCGGAGACCCTTCATGGACCGCCATACGAACAGGTTATTCCTACAGTAACCTCATAAAGAAAGATGGTCTAAAATGCTTGATGATGCACACTACACTTAGAGCACTTGGTGGCAGTTGCTGGCATTTTGATAGTGGTTCCTCTGTGCATGTGGCAAATGATAGAACATTGTTTGCAACGTTTGAGGAAGATTCTGATGATGAGTCTGTTAGTTTTGGTGATGGCGGTGAATGTAGAATACATGGTCGAGGTGAAATCAAATTTCCAGGTGTTGGTGAGTTGAAAAATGTTCTATGCGTTGAGGATTCAGATTCAAATTTATTGAGTATTAGTCAGATTTGTGATGATGGTTTTGAAGTGAATTTTACTCAACAGGGTTGTTTTGTAACCAACAAACAGGGTGAGTGTGTTCTGAAGGGGATTAGAACTTTTCGTGATATTTATGTAATACAGCCATATCCACTGTTTTTGATGGTACCTACTGGATTCTTGGTTGCTGAGGGCGAAGAAGAAGTGTCTCTTGTCCAGCTTACCACTGCTACAATGGAGGAGGAAGAGGAAGAGGAAGAGCTGGAGGTGGAACCAAAGGACGACAATAGTACTATTACTAATGATGTTTACTATGACTTGTTGACTATTGAAGGGAAGAAATTAGTATTGAAGAAGAAGATCAAGAAGGGTGATATTTGTCCTCCATGTGAAGGAGGGGACCTCCTTTCACCAGGCGATGCCATCTGCTTTGGCTCCTCTCTTGGTTGGTTGGCCTTTATCCACCCTGGCAATTGTTTGACCTACCTCTACAACCCATTAATCATCAACCCCTCTACCCCTTTCATCTCCCTCCCTCCTATCAAGAACCTTCCTTCTGAACACCTGAGTGAAGATTTCTTCAAAAAGATTGTTTCATCCTCACTCCCTCCGTATGACAAAAATAACAGTAAGGACTATTGGATAGTGATGGCTATCCAAGGCTACCAGAGTTATGAACTTGCTTTCTGCAGGATTGACCACCCTTCATGGACTGCCTTACACGGAACACTTGGTCCCTACAGGGACCTAGTATACTCTGTCGAGCACCAACTTTTTTTTGCTTTGGGCTGTTGTGGTTTAGAAGCTTGGGATTTTCGCAATCCTGCCTCTCCAACGAGTACTTTCATTACTGAATCCATGCCTCCCACAATGAGTTTGGTCAGTAAGGTGGTGGAATGCTGTTGTTCCAGAAGATATCTAGTGGAGTCTTCGGGGGATCTGTTAGTGGTTAATAGATACTCTTCTTCAGCTATTTGTAGCAAGACGGTTGCATTTGATGTGTATAAGCTGGACTTTGTTGGGAAGGAATGGGTATATCTGCCAAGCTTAGGTGATCGTGTAGTGTTTGTTGGTGCCAATCATGCTGAGTCTTTCTCGGTCTATGGTTTGTTCCCTGGGTTGATCCCCAATTCCATTTACTTCACTGCCTGTGACACTTCTATATCTAATGATTTGGGATTCTTCAACTTGGAAGATAAAAGCATCTATCGGCGCCACTTGGGGAAGAAGAAGGTTCAACCGTCTCCTACTTGGATGGTGCCTCAGCTGTGACTGTAAGTGAGGAAATTAAATGTTGATATCATCCACCCATTTTGTTTAACCCCGGGTTACATATTATCCCAATTAACTCTATGGTACTCAATCTCCTCAAATCTGTTTGTCTGGATTTGTGCTTCGCTGTTTTCCTTTTTGGTTCCCCTCAATCTCTTCTTCCCATGTGTTATTCTCTCTGTCTTGGCTCCATATATATAGTACACCTTTCTCTGTTGGCGCTGTATGCAAATATTTCCTTAAAGTTTACTCTTGAGAGCATATTCGGAGCAAGGTGATACTAATTTAATTCTGTCATTGATTGCCTCAATAAGTGTACATGTTTGCTTGGTTTTTTATTCTTCTTTTTCCTTTTTCCCTTTTAGTTAGTTAGTTCCGAAGTTGAATTTTTATATAATTACAAAGTTAGCAATTAATTATTTGACCATAATCCATTTATGATTAATTGGATTTTAAGATCCACATGAACCCTCTCTATGTTTAAATATAGAAATGAAGTCAGATTTATGTAGGATTGTAGGCCATGGTAAAGTAGCACGCTGATTTTAATATCTCCTTGAAGTTCAAAGTGCATGTTTTTAGGATTTGGTTGTAGATGTGCATAGTCTTTCCCTGTATTCTTGTTGCAGGAATCCCTTCTTTATGTAATTAACATTTAGGATCAAAATAAAAGCTTAATTGGTTGATGAGTTCTTTTTAATTGTCTTACCATTATTTTGACAGCTTAATGTTGCAGCTTTATGGGTTTTGTTTGTTGATTTCCTATCCGGTAGTATTATCACCTACCTCATCTCTCTGTTCTTGAAATGGTGCATGTAGCTCTAGTTTGCTTAGTTTCATTTCATTAGGCAGGCATCTTGTACCACCTAGCCTTAAAAATCATTCATTTAACCTATAGGAGGCCTAATATCAGGATCATTAGCGATAGAAAATACTCTTTTTTTGAGCTCTTTATCATTTACTGTTGTTTAATCAGTGTGTCTGTTCCATAAGTTCACCTTTCCATACGACTCAGATGAATGGCTGTTGGGAATTCTCCATCTTCTGTTGTTCTTCGAGGAGGAGGAGAAAAAGGTCTACGTCTTTTTATTCAAGTGCCATGTTGATTTTTGACTTGTTTAGCTCTGTAGCTCAGCAGGCAATGGCATGCATCAATTTAGAGTGATGAGTAGAATTTGATCCGGCTGCAGTTGAGTGGGTTGATTCTTGTTAAGCACCAACAAACATCATATAAGTTGAGCTAGTTGACCTCAACTTAACCATCCTTAACCCTGGTTGAGAGAGGGAAGGCATTATTATAACCCACAAACAATGCACGATCAGCATTCCACAGATTCCCACTCATTCACATTGAAATTCAACTTATAAACAAAAAATGCCTTGGTCTGCTGAAAGTGAAACTCCTCTAATATTTGTTCCTCCTCGGGAAAATTAGACACTTATTTTATCGAAAAATCTGTAAAGCTGCAGAAGATCCCCAGACAACTCTACCAAATATTTTACATGAATTGAAGAGTTCGCAGACAAATATTCTTTCTGTTCTGCTGAATAAAGAAGGTGGGGTCGATGACTGCATGTTTAGGAGGACAAGAATGATCTACCTTTGCTGTTTCTGAAGTCTTAAAGCCATGTTGCAAAAATCACATTTTAGAAAGCACAGTGGATAATCTATATTCTATATATTGTTTTAATTCATCATCATCATGAAATATATTGTTTTAATATATAATATATATGTTATTTTAATTAACATGTGACATTCCCATTATCAAATTTGTTAGTTTCTTGTGTCATAGAAGACATTGGAGCTTATTATCAATTTTTTTTTTTTAACATTGATGTGTAAACATTTTTCTTAAGTCCAAGTTTGATGGGATGAATTTTCTTGTTTTATTAGATAATATACATACATATATATATATATATTGTATTAATTGACGTGTGATATTCCGGTTATCAAATTTTGTTAGGTTTTTTTGAGTCATTGAAGACAATGGAACTTATTATCAATTATTTTTGTTGAACATTGATGTTTAAACATTTTTCTTAAGTCCAAGTTTGATGGGATGGATTTTCTTGTTTTAATAGATAATCTATATATTGTTTTAATTGACATGTGATATTCCCATTATCAATTTATTGAGTTTTTTTGAGTCATAGAAGACATTGGAACTTGTTATCAATTATTTTTGTTGAGCATTGATGTTTAAACATTTTTCTTAAGTCCATGTTTGATGGGATGGTTTTTCTTGATCCTAGAGGTCACTCCACTGTTGAGCATCAAGCTTGTGGAGCTCCCTAGGTGGTCCCAACCTAGGCAGGCATGAGATACGTCCGGATGTATGCCCATGGAGGCATTCATGCATGTGCAGCTCCCTAGGCAGTCCCAACCTAGGCAGGCATGAGATACGTCTGGGTGTATGCCCATGGAGGCATTCATGCCATGTGCAAGGACTGACTCCTCCTCCTCTTCTCCTCATTTTTTTTTTTTTTTAACTCCCTTCTCCTCCCTTTTACTATCTCTTACTTCTTTAGGGACTTATCTTTTCTATATTTCTCTGATTTCTCAAATATGTACCTTAACCTATCTACTCTCTTAAATTTCTCTAACCTATCCGCTCTCTTCAATATCTAATCTTTTTCTCTGTCCTCTTTTCTTCTCTTTCCTGTGTTGAATTATTTCTCTGGTATACTATTATCTTCCTCTGTTTTTATTATATGAATTGTCTTAAACATAAACTAGGGTAAATACAGATATACTGAAAATGAGTCCCTGGAGGTAATTGGTGCAGTTTGTCCCCAAACATATTGTATATGTATATACATATATATATATATATTTATAAGTAACCCAAACATATTGTATATGGAAATAGATGCTATAAATTAGGTACATAAGGGAGTATGCAAAACAATTTGCAGTTCAAAAATTATGAAGATGCTGGCCAGAGACCTAGATTGTCTTGTTTGAATTATTTTTACGGAGCATGCGGAGTAGTTTTCTGGTCCTCATGACATTGCTCATTGTATTATTTATGTGCTGAAGAATAATATTATTTGCATTCGACTTTCACTTCGTAGCACTTCACCGGAGTTCTGTTATATTAAGTTCATTTTTTATTGAGCATGTAATTTTCTGTTCCTTGTTTTGTGCTTTCATTCATGTTTTCTCAAGTAGAAAACTTATTGTTTTTAGTATATTTCATATACTTCTAAATTAACTCATAAGGTGGTTTTCTCTCTCTCTCTCTCTATATATATATATACACACGATCACTGAATCTGATCCAGAGAGATGCCACTGTTATTGTTTCAAAATGATTTATCGTTTGGATAAGAACTTCTTCTTATGATACCATAACTCATAGAACTGCATCATTCCTATTTGAAATATTCAATTTTCTCACTTTAGTTTGACAGCTTTTTAACTTCTCTTCAGTTAAACCGCTTAGATAGTCGATCTGTCTTTTTCGGAGTGGGTGAACCCCAAAAAATGCTTCCTTGAAAAATCACTTCTGCTTGTGCAGATTGTTCGAATTGGGATGTGTAGATTTTTATTCTATTTAGATATTGGGAAAAAAGAGAGACAGGTTTAAGGACTGGTATATCACTTCTAGGACGGGATCGTGATAGGGAAGCCATATCCGGAACCTTCACCCATGCCATCCATTTTTTTTTTTTTTTTTTCTTTCATATATAGTCTGATGTATTTCTTAAGACTTAAGTGTATTCTGTAACATTATAGTAATTCTTGCAATCTGAAAACAAAATCAATGGCGATAGAAAATTATTTTTTTCGAGCTGTCTATAATTTACTGTTGTTTAATCAGTGTGTCTTCTCCATAAGAAAGTTCACTTTCCCATTTGACTCCGACAAATTGGAGTTGGGGATTCTCCATCTGCTGTTGTTCTTCGAGGAGGAGGAGGAGAAAAAGTTCTAGGTCTTTTTATTCAAGTGCAATGTTGGAATTTGAATTGTTTAGCTTTGTAGCTCACCAGATATGGTATGCGTCAATTTAGAGTGATGAGTAGCATTTGATCAGGCTGCAGTTGAGTGGGTTGATTCTTGTTAAGCACCAACAAACATCCTTTAAGTTGACCTAGTTGATCTCAACTTAACCATCCTTCACTCTGGTTGAGAGAGAGAAGTCATGTTATAACCCACAAACACTGCACGAATCATTCCACAGATTCCCACTCATTCACATTGAAATTCAACTTATAAACAAAAGTTGCCTTGGCCCACTGAAAGTGAAACTCCTTCAATATTTGTTCCTCCTATCTTATCGAAAAACCTGTAAAGCTGCAGGTAACTGGAGGTAACTGGTGCAGTAGTTTGTCCCCAAACATATTGTGTATGGAAATAGATGCTATAAATTCGGTACATAGAGTATGGAAAACGATTTGCAGTTCATGAATTATGAAGATGCTGGCCAGAGAGTCAGAGACCTAGTTTGTCTTGTTTGAATTATTTGTATGGAGCATGTGGAGTAGTTTTCTGGTCCCCATGATGTTGCTCATTATACTGTTTATGTGCTGAAGAATAATATTATTTGCATTCGACTTTCAGTGCCTAGCACTTCACTTGTGTTCTGTTATATTAACTTCATTTTTTGTTGAGCATGTTTTATGCTTTCATTCTTGTTTGCTCAAATAGAAAACTTATTGTTTTAAGTATATTTCATATAATAAATTAATTAACTCATAAGGTGGATTTCTTACTCTCTCTCTCATTATATATATATACACAGAGTCACTGACTGTGATCCAGAGAGATGCCACTGTTATTGAATTTGGGTACTAATATAGGTACTAAAGGAGGACATCCAAAATGATGTATAATTTGGATACTACTTCTTATGATACTATATCTCATAGAATTGCATAATTACTAATTTAAATATATAATTTTCTCACTTTAGTTTGACAACTTTTTAACTTCAGTTGAACCGCTTTGATAGTCGTTCTATCTTCTTCGGATTGATTGATCCCCCAAAAAAATGCTTCCTTGAAAAACTACGTCTGTTTGTGCAGATTGTTCATATCAGGATGTGCAGATTTTTATTGTATTTATATATTGAAAAAGAAGAATACAGGTTTAGTGGTTTCTCTCTTCTAGGATGGGGTTGTGATAGGGAAACCATATCCGTAACCTTCACCCCTGCCATCCAATTTCTTTTTTTCATATCCAGTCTGATGTCTTTCTCAAGACTCAAGTGTATTTTGTAACATTGTAGTAATTCTCTCAAATATGCACTTTTATTTTTATTTTATTGTTTTATTTTTATGAATGTTATGTTAGGTATAGAACATGGCAGGGCTATATTGTCATAATTCACAACTATTTGTTCTTGCAAATTATAATTGTCATGCATATTTCTGGCACTTGTCAGTACACACTCTGTTTGTCAAAATATTTGGAGCATGATGCTCAACTTTGGTTTTGTATATATTTCTGTTCTGGATCTTAAAGTTTATTCCTGCTCTTCATATGCAAAAGTTTGGCCCATTAGTATTGACTTGAAATTTATGGAACCAGTCGGACGTGAACTCAAATCGATTGTGATGGTAAAACTACAGTTTTAGACTTCCACATTAGTTTTACATTGTTATTTTTGAAATAAATGTTTTTCTACAGGGAAAAGTAAGTCCCATTTTTTGTGATTTTTAAACCAATGGAATTCATAATTGGGATTGGCTGACTGAAAAAGACACCATCATTGGGATTAGCGTTAGAAAAAAAGAAAGAAAGAGAAGAGTTTTTTTAAATTTATTTTTGTAAAAAAAAAAAAAAAATTAAGGAAAGAAAGACGAGAGTTTACTACTACACTTTTTGCATTATTTTAATTAGGGTCTTCTAAAATGCCTACAAGTAATTTGTGGAAGGATTTGCAAATTTGGCCTTGGAATGGCATTCATGAAATGTCTTCTCATCATTTGTTATTAAATCATGAAGGCAGGCTTTGCTGGAATGGATCCCAAGTTTCCTCAACTGCTTTGCCCAATTTATTCTTTTCACGTCTTTTTTCCTAATTTCCCCCTGTTTCTCTCATCATTGTCTACATGTATAGTTTTCATATTTTTGTATATAAAATAAAAAAAGAATTCGTTAATTTTCTTTTCTCTATGCACAGTGAAAGTGTTTATTGTATATTTTTCTATTTCAATTTTACAGGCTATTTCTTGATGAAATGGTAAAATTCAGGTTGTCAAGTATGACTATATGAGAACTTAAGTTTAAATTTAAGGACAGCCAAGTCATTGGAACAATGAGGTGTCCTACTTGCATGTTTTACTGTTGCTTTTTATACTTTGGTAAGGTTTATGATTATAGATCATATATGGATGCCATACATAAAAATGTGAGTGCAAATATGTGCTTAGCACCCTGTGCTGATGAAGATTGCTAATTGTTACTCGTGTGCAGGTCATGGATTCAGCTGTTGATCTTATGAACAAATCATTTACTGATCGTTAGGATTCGGGTTTTCTGTTTACTAAGTTGCCAAGCAGCGGTATTTTGGAGTTGCTACCGATATGTACATATACTACTTCCTTGGAGCAGAGCCTAGCTGAGTGACATGACTGTAGAGGATTCTCTGTTGGTGTTGATCTTTTTGTTATGCAGCCTTCATAGTCTAAATTCTGGGAAACAAACTGGAGAATTGTGTCCTTGAATGAAAGGTTCTTTTATTTAAAATGTTCTTCAGTCTCCAAAATTGTTGTGGATCTTGTAATATAGGTAAGCATTCTGTCACATGTTTTTCCCTAACTGTTCTTGTTCTGTTTCCCAATCAAGTGAATCACATGTAGTCTTCTTGCAAACCAGAATATTCCTGTTTAATTATAGAATCAGATAGTGTTTGTTGAAAGTAAGGTGGTATACTGGTATTGGAACAAAACAATCCAGGAAAAGGAAGATTGAGTTTTGCTGATGGCAAGAACAATGGCATGATTGTTTATTTGAAGATTGCATAATGAAACAGAGGGAATAGTTTTGTTTAGAATTAGGCCATTCATGGCAAGTGTTCAATTGTCATTCACTGTAACTGTTCGGTGTGAGTATCGCTACTCATGAGAAAATAATTTTTCAATATTCGTTTAAATATGGATTTACTAAAATGAGTCTGAACAACATAGATGTAAATTTTTATAATTTTTGGAGGGTGCACATGTTTAAATTGTATTTTGAAATTAATTATGTAAAGGAATCTATATTTTATAAATTTTAAAAAAAATTGAGCACTTCCACACTGTTCCGCCAGTGAGAAGCATTCAGGAGTTAGAATGGCAATGGGTCGGGTGTGGAGCGGGTTTGCTTAAAATTCATACCTGCCCTATTTGATTATAAATAAATTCATACTCGATTCATACCCGCGAAGAATTTAAAGTTTATAGTTCATACTCGCCTCATTAAGAGATGAGTATACTTGTGTCCGTCTAGCCCCATTTCATTTTATTTTTTATTTTTTGTTATTTATATAAATAAATTGATAAAATCTATAAATTCTAACAATGTAAATACATAATAGATGATATATATATATATATATATATATATATATATATGAACACAATAATATATTAATATCTATACATCTAAATATATATAAAATTTAAAAAAAAAAAAATAAAAGTATAAAGGATGGGCAGGTGTTTCTCAAAACTCGTATTTGTCTCATCAGAGACTGAGTCATGATTTTATGTTAGGGGGCACGATGCAAAATATATATAACATAACAAATATAAAATATAAAAAAAGAAAAAAATTATTCAAATATGCACATTAAAAAGAAGAATTTTAAGAAGTAGAAGTAGAAGTAGAAGTAGAAATAGAAAAAGAAAAAGGAAAGAAAAATAAGAAAACATTCAAAGGAAAAAGTTAAGAATTAAATTGAGGAAGAAAAATTTAACTTTTTCTTTTAAAAAAATTTAAGAAAATTTAAAGAGTAAAATAGGAAATAAAGATAGAATTTTAGAAATTACAAAATTTAGGATTATTGTATAATTTTTTTTCATACATATGAACAATTTTTTAAAAAATAACGCCTATATTATAAAGGGCGAAGCTGGCCGGCCATGCTCGTATCTTGTAATCCGAGATAAATTTAAAATATAAATTCATACTGGCCTTACCTTATAAAGGGTTCGCAAACCCGTATTAAGACGAACTTCCCGAATGTACAAATTGCCATTAATTTGCTTTCGAACATGAGGTGCAACATTGTTGGGACTTACCCTTCAAAAAAAAAAAAAAAAAAAACATTGTTGGGACTTTTTGCAGTGGACACTTATTGTCCGAACTCCAACTCAAGCTTTTCGTCACTGCTCATCGTATATTAAAAAAACCTCCCTGGTACATTGATTTTCCCTGGTACATTATACGCAGTGCTATACAGTACTTGGAAGAGAGGGATGTCATGAAGAGAGCACTGATGAGCTTGTTCTCTGAAAGCCCATTAGATGAGGCCCACATAGATAGGTGCTAGGGCTCGGACAATGGAGGGAGTAGCGACGAGATAGGCGCAACTGCTAGGGTTTGGGCAAGGGTTGTTCTTGCATAGAAGCAGCGGCTGGTGGAAGAGTCGCTGGAGAGATGGCTGCTTTTGTCCGTAGGTCGCTGGCGAGATTCTTCAAACCCTCCGGTAGTGTTGGTCTGACTCTTCGTGGAATGAAATCCTTCCCATCGGCGAGATCAATGTCATCATCGTCTGAACCCCTAATTGAAGATAATCGCCAAGGGTCTGCCATACGAGCAGGTGGTTTCTACAGGGACCTGGTAAAAAAAGAGAGTCTAAAATGCTTGGTCACACACACTGATCGTGGAACACTTGGTTGGTTACTTGATAGTGGTTGCTCTAGGCATATGACAGGTGATAGGACATTGTTTACCACATTTGAGGAAGTAGATTCAGGTAATTCTGTTATTTTTGGTCATGGCAGAGAATCTAAAATATCTGGTAAAGGTAAAATCAAATTTCCGCGTGTTGGAGAGTTGGAAAATGTTCAGTATGTTGAGGGTTTACCTGGAAATATCTTGAGTGTTAGTGAGTTTTGTGACGATGATTTTCAAGTGAAGTTTAATAAATATGGTTGTTTTGTAATCAACAAACAGGATGAGTGTGTTCTGAAGGGACTTAGAACTCGTTATAATCTTTATGTAATATATTCAGATCCACTGTTTTTGATGGTACCTGCTGGCTTCTTGGTTGCTGAGGGCGAAGAAGAAGTGTCCTTTGTCAAGCTTACTACTGCTACAATGGAGGAGGAGGAGGAGGAAGAAGACGAGGACAATGACAATCGTACTACCATTGATGATGATTACTATGACTTGTTGAGTGTTGAAGGGAAGAAATTAGTATTGAAGGAGAAGATCAAGAAGAGTACTATTTGTCCTGAAAGGGGCCTCTCACCAAACGATGCCATTTGCTTTGGCTCCTCTCTTGGTTGTTTGGCCTTTATCCACCCTCACAATTGTACCTACCTCTACAACCCCTTCTCCTACCTCTGGTATCTCCCCCTCCCTCCTATCAAGACCCTTTCTTCTTTTATATCATCACCATGCCCAAGTAGAAGATGCAGCAAAAATTCCTCCTCCTCCTCTTCCTTTTTTAATAATAATAATAATAATATTCCTACCGACTACATGATTCCTCAGGAGATTTCAGCCGTATCCTCTGAACACCGAAGTGAAGATCTCTTTAAAAAGATTGTTTCTTCCTCACTCCCTCCATTTTACAACAAGAACATTAATGACAATTGGACGGTGATGACCATCCAAGGCTACCAGAGTCATGAGCTTGCTTTCTGCAGGGTTGGCGGCCCTTCATGGACTGCCTTAAACGGAACACTTGATCCTTACGGGGACATAGTATACTTTAGTGAGCACAAACTTTTTTATGCTTTGGGCTGTTGTGGTTTAGAAGCTTGGGATCTTTGCGATCCTGCCTCTCCGAAGAGTACTTTCATAACTGAATCCATGCCTCCCACAATGAGTTTTGTCAATGAGGTGGTGGAATGTTGTTGTGCCAGAAGGTATCTAGTGGTGTCTTCAGGGGATCTGCTAATGGTTAATAGGTACTATTCTAAGGCTGTTGGTAGCAAGACCATTGCATTTGATGTGTATAAACTCGACTTTGTTGGGAAGGATTGGGAATATGTGCCAAGCTTAGGCAATCGTGTATTGTCTGTTGGTGCCAATCATGCTGCGTCTCTCTCGGTCCATGATTTCCCTCAGTTGATCCCCAATTCCATTTACTTCACTGCCTACGATCCTTCTATATCTAATGATTTGGGGTTCTTCAACTTGGAAGATCAAAGCATCTATCGGCGCCACTTGGGGAAGAAGAAGGTTCAACCGTCTCCTACTTGGATTGTGCCTCAGCTGTGACTGTAAGTGAGGACATTAAAGGTTGATATCATCCACCCATTTTGTTTTACCCTGGATTACTAATTATCCCAATTAACTCTCACTTGTGCTTCACTGTTTTCCTTTTTGGTGTTCGCACCATATATGTAATACTTTGTTGGCCCTGTATGCAACTGTTTCCTTATACTTTACTCGTGAGAGTATATTCGAAGCAAAGTGGATCACTAATGTAATTCTGTCATTGATTGCCTAAAGTGTACATCGTTGCTTGGATTTTTATTCTCCTTTTTCCTTTTACCTTTTAGTTAGTTAATTCTGAAGTCAGTATTTATATAATTACAAAATTTGCACTTTATTATGTGACCATACTCCATTTTATAATTAATTGGAATTTAATATCCACATGAACCCTCTTTATGTTTAAAGATAGAAATGAAGTTCGATTAATGTAGGATTGTAGGCCATGATAAGGTAGTACTCATATTGTAATATCTTGTTGATGTTCAAAGTGCTGGTTATTAGGATTTGGTTGTAGATGCATAAGTCTTCCCCTGTCTTCTTGTTGCAGGATTCCCTTTATGTAATTAAAATCTAGGATCAAAATAAAAGCTTAATTGGCTGATGAGTTCTTTGTATTCGTTTTACCATTATTTAGAGAGCTTCATGTTGCAGCTTGGGTTTTGTTATTGTTCACCTAACCAGTAGTATTATCACCTCTCTCTATTCTTGAAATGGTTTATGTATTTCTAGTTTGCTTAGTTTCATTTCATTAGTCAGGTATCTTGTACCAGCTTGCCTTAGTCAGGAGGCCTAATATCAGGATCATTAGCGATAGAAAATACTCTTTTTCTGAGCTCTCTATCATTTGCTGTTGTTTAGTCAGCGTGTCTGCTCCATAAGTTTGCTTTTCCATGTGACTCAGACGAATGGCTGTTGGTGATTCTCCATCTGCTGTTTTTCTTCGTGGAGTAGGAGAACAAGATCTAGGCCTTTTTATTCAACGCCATGTTGAAATTTGAATTGTTTAACTTTTTAACTCAGCAGACAATGGAATGCATCAATTTAGAGTGATGGGTAGAATTTGATCAGGCTGCAGTTGAGTGGGTTGATTCTTGTTAAGCACCAACAAACATATTATTCATCAGAAAAAAGAAGTTAAGCACCAACAAACATCCTATAAGTTGACCTAGTTGACCTTAACTTAACTATCCTCAACTCTGGTTGAGAGAGAGGAGGCATGATTATAACCCACAAACAATGTGCAATCATTTAAGCATTCCATAGATTCCACTCATTCACAGAAATTCAACTTATAAACAAAAAATGCTTTGGTCTGCGAAAGTGGAAACAAAAAATGCTTTGGGCCGCGAAAGTGAAACTCCAATATTTGTTCCTCCTCCTCTGGAAAATCTGGCACACTTATTTTATCAAAAAATCTGTAAAACTGCAGAAGATCCCCAGACGACTACCAAATATTTTACATGCATAGAAGAGTTTGCAGACAAATATTCTTTCATTTTCTGCTGTATAGAGAAGGTGGTGTCGATGACTGCATGTTTAGGAGGACAAAAATAATCTCCCTTTCCTGTTTCTGAAGTCTTAAAGCCATGTTGCAAAAATCACATCTTTTAGAAAGCACTGTAATGTTTGTGATTTTTTTTTTTTTTTTTAATATATATTTATATATAATTGTGTGGTGTAAAAAGGAAAAGAAAATAAAAGAAAAATAAATTAGTTTTGGTGGTGGGTCCGTGGTGGGACCCACTACCACTTTAAGTGGCAAAAGGCTACCATTTGCCTCACAAATTCTCTCTCTCCCGTAAGTCTCTCTCTCTCTCCTCCTATTTCTAGAGTTTTTCTTTTTCTTTTGGTTTCAATCTTTAAACTTAGATTTCTCCCTCAATTTTTGGTATTTTTGGGAGCCGTTTGTGGCAAAAGGGAGAGCACGGCAAGATCTACTCGTTGATGTAAGCAATTCATCATTTGGTGCATCCTAGGAATTCCGAAAATTTGGACCCATTTGAGGATTTTCTACAAAATTGAGGTAGGGGTGTTCTAATCCATGACTTCTTGGATTTTTGTGAATTTTCCTCTTTAATTTGACCTTAAGCATGCTTAATTTTATTTATTTTGTCCAATGCTATTGTGGTTGTATGTGCTCAAAATGACGTATGTGTTTTACATGCTAATTGGGTTATATACATGGCTATTTACATTATTGTGAAGAAGCATGCTTAATTTTGGTATATTGTGTGACTTGTGAATTTTCAAGTGCTATGGAAATTGATGTTGTGGTGGTGAAATAATTGTTTGAAATTTTTTGTCAAAAATAATAATAATAATAATAAAATGATGATGATGTAGAAGAGTATGTAGAATTTTATTGTTGAAATGTGTTTAGAAGCATGAAGCATTCATGCATTCATTGGGAAAGAAAGGAAAAAGGGAAAGGTGTTTTTGGAAGCAAATGAAATTGTTTTGAGAAAAAATGGTTTTGAAAAGTGTTTGCGAAAACCCGGACGCCTAGGAGGCGCCTAGTGGTCCGTGGTGTTAGTGTAATTTAGAGGGGAGTATGTTTGAGCTAACCAAGCTGGATGTGACGCCCTGGAGGTGCCTTGTGGTCGTGGATGGTTAGCCAATCCTCTCCTCGTGACGCCATAGAAGTGTTATGGGTCAGATTACATTAACGGTTTGGAAGTTGAAACGGAAATGTTTCGGAATGGGGAGCGACATTTGCATGACATTGCATTTCATTAGCATATATAGTGTGTTTGGGATTTGATGACATTTGTTATATACCTGTCATTGTGGTTGTTGACATTTAGTCCCCATGGTATGATCCCGTTTACCTTTTACCAATTCTATACGTGGATTCACGTGGTCATAAGAGGTATGTCTTAGACACCTCCTATTAAGCTTATGCTCACCCCATTATTTTAACATTTTTTAGGTCTGGGAAAGGAAGTGGAGGACGAAGTTCCTTTACAGGTTTTGATGAGTTACTGGACTGTTTGATCTATTTTGTAGCTATGATCTCGTTTTATTATTATTATTATTTATAAACCCTGGGATGACACGTATATTATGTATTGCCATAGGAAAGACTGGTAACGTTTTTGTTAACATCCGGTTCGAGTAAGGACCCGGTTAGCGATTCGAACCCTCGGGTTCGGGTCGTTACAAGCACAGTGAGATAATCTATATATTCTTTTAATTCATTATCATCATCAAATATGTTGTTTTAATAGATAACCTATATATTGTTTTAATTGTCGTGTGATAATCCCATTATCAAATTTGTTAGATTTTCGAGTCATAGAAGACACTTGAACTTATTATCAATTCTTTTTGTTGAACATTGATGTTTAAACATTTTTCTTCTGTCCAAGTTTTTATGGTATAGATTTTCTTGATCCTAGAGGTCACTCCACAGTTGAGCATCATGCTTGTGGAGCTCCCTAGGTTGTCCCAACTTAGGCAGGCACAAGATACGTCCGGATGTTCAACTCCCTTCTCCTTCCTTTCACTCTCCCTTACCTCTTTAGGGTCTTCTCATTTCTACATTTCTCTGATTTCTCAGACATGTACCTTAACCTATCTACTCTCTTAAATATCTGTAACCTATCCACTCTCTTCAATATCTTATGTTTTTTCTCCATCTTCTTTTCTATGTTGAATTATTTCTCTGGTATACTATTATCTTCCTCTATTTCTATTTTATGAATTGACTTAAACATAACCTAGGGTAAATGCAGAAATACTGAAAATGAGTCCCTGGAGGTAACTGGTGCAGTTGGTCTCCAAACATATTGTATATGGAAATAGATGCTATAAATTAGGTACTAAGGGAGTATGGTAACCAACGGGCCAGTGGCCTAGCAGTATCATCCTCTTACTTCTCAAAGGGAGGTTAGGGGTTCAAGTCTCAAAAGAGACAAGTGTGTGTGAGTACCAACTTGGGAAAAAAAAAAAAAAAAAAAAAAAAAAAGGGAGTATGGTAAACGATTTGCAGTTCAAGAATTATGAAGCTGCTGGCCAGAGACCCAGGTTGTCTTGTTTGAATTATTTTTACGGAGCATGTAGAGTAGTTTTCATGTCCCCATGACATTGCTCATTATACTATTTATGTGCTGAAGAATAATATTATTTGCATTCGACTTTCACTGCCTAGCACTTCACTGGTGTTCTGTTATATTAAGTTCATTTTTTGTTGAGCATGTAATTTTCTGTTCCTTGTTTTGTTCTTTCATTCTTGTTTGCTCAAGTAGAAAACTTATTGTTTTTTGTATATTTTATATACTACTTAATTAACTTATAAGGTGGTTTTCTCTGTGTCTGCCTTTCTCTTTATATGTGTATGTGCGTGTGTATGTATATATTTATATACTGTCACTGACTCAGATCCGGAGAGATGCTACTATTATTGATTTTGGGTACTAATATAGTCGATACGTCTTCTTCGGATTGGGTGAATCCCAAAAAATGGTTCCTTGAAAAACCACTTCTGCTTGTGTAGATTTTTCAAATCTGGATGTACAGATTTTTGTTCTGTTTATATTTTGGGAAAAAAAAGAGACAGGTTTAAGGAGTGGTTTCTCCCTTCTAGGATGTGGTCGGGATAGGGAAGCCATATCCGGATCCTTCACACCTGTCATCCAATTTCTTTTTTTCATATCTAGTCTGGTTTATATCTAAAGACTCAAGTGTATTCTGTAACATTATAGTAATTCTTACAATTTGAAAACAGAACTTGTACTCAAATAGGCACTTTTCTTTTTAAGAATGTTATGTTAGGTATAGGACTTGGCAAGCCCTATATTGCCATAATTAACAGCTATTTGTTTTTGCAAATTATAATTGTCATGCATCTTTCTGGCGCTAGTCACTACACATTCTTTTTGTGAAATTTTTGGAGCTTGATGCTCATCTTTGGTTTTGTATATATTTCTGTTCTGGATCTTAAAGTTCATTCCTGCTCTTCATATGCACAAGTATGGCCCATTAATATTGACTTGAAATTTTTGCAACTGGTCGGACGTGAACTCAAATCGATTGTGAAGGTAAAACTACGGTTTTTGACTTACACATTAGTTTTACATCTATTTTTGCAATAGATGTTTCTCTACGGGGAAAAGTAAGTCCTATTTTGTGCAATTTTTGAAACAATGGAATTCATCAAGGGCATTAGCCTGCCTGAATAAGACTCGATCATTGGGATTAGCGTGAGAAAAAAAAAAAATTTAAAGAAAGAGCAAAAAAAAAAAAAAAAAGAAAGAGAGGGAGTTTATTTATTTATGAAAAAAAATAAAGAAAAGAAAGAGAAGAGTTTATTGACTACAATTTCTGCATTATTTTAGTTAGGGTCTTTCCAGTACGAGCAATTTGTGGAAGAATTTGCCAATTTGGGGTGATGACACTCATAATACTTCTCTCAATTTCGTGGCTTGAGTGTGTTAGAAACTTGGAAACGGTTTTTGAAGGTATTGAGTGGCTAGCTTATAGAAAGCTGTTAAAAGGAGTAAAGGAAAAAATATGTGAAGAAAATTTCAAGAATTTGTTAACATAGTCTTTGAGGATAAGAATAAGGGTGTGCTTGGAATGGCATTCATGAAATGACTTCTCAGCATTTGTTATTAAATCATGAAGGCACGCTTTGCTGTTATGGATCCCATGTTTCTTTAACTGCTTTGCCTAATTTATTCTTTCATGCCTTTTTTTTCTTCTTATTTTCCACCTATTTCTCTCTTCTTTGTCTGCATCTATAGTTTTTATATATATATAAAAAAGAAATCATTAATTTTATTTTCTCTATGCACCCTGAAAGTGTTCATTGTATTATTTTCTTTTTCAATTTTAGAGGCTATTGCTTGATGAAATAGTAAAACTAAGGTAGTCTGTAGTCAAGTATGACAATATGAGAACTCGAGTTCAAGAACAGCCAAGTCATTGAAACAATGAGGTGTCCTGCTGTATGGTCTTCATTTCTTTCATAAGTGCATGTATGTTACTTAGTCGTACCCATGATTTTAGTTCCATGTTTTATACAGAATGGTAAGATTTATGATTATAGATGATATATAGATGCCATACATAAAAATGTGAGGTGCAAATATGTGCTTGGCACCCTGCCCTGGTATAGACTATAGATTGCTAATTGTTACTTGCCTGGTGCAGTTCATGGATTCAGTTGTTTGATCTTATGAACACATCATTTATCGATTGATCATTGGCGATTAGGGTTTTCTGATTACTAAGTTACCAAGTGCGGGCATTTTGGAGTTGCTAGTGATATGTACCAACTACTTCCTTGGAGCAGAAGAGCCTAGCTGAGTGAAATGACTGTAGAGGGTTCTCTATTCTTGGTGTGATATTTTTGTAATGCAGCCTTCTTAGTCTAAATTCTGGGAAACAAACTGAAAAGGTTATTTTATTTAAAATGTTCTTCAGGCTCTAAAGAAGTTGTGTGGTTCTCATTATAATAGAGGTAAACATTCTTTGACCTATGTATGTTTTGTCCCTTTATGTTGTTCTGTTTCCTAGTCAAGCTATATCTATCTTGTTTATTGAAAGAAGGTGGTAGTGGAGTTAACAATTCAGGAAAAGAAAGTTTGAGATTTGTTGATGGCAAGAACAGTGGCACGATTGTTTATTGAGAAATGCATTAAGCAATAGCCCCTTATCCCCCATGGTTGGATAAACAAAGGCATCACTGAGGCCTACTTTCATCCCTGCTCAATTACACTCGAGTTTCCTGCTCAATTGCACTCAAGTTTCCTTCTCCTGTTCTACATTATGCACTCTGAGGATGGAGAGATTCGAAAACAGAAGATGGAATAATTGGAGTTTTATGGGTGTGTTCGGCTGCATGGAATTGGAGTTTTAGAATTTGGAATTGGAATTGGAATTGAAAAAAATTATAGTTCAATTTTTTGAATTGCTTTTCTCTAATTTTACAAATTTTAATTCTAAGGCTTCAATTTTTGGTAGGCGAACACACCTATAAAAATTTAAAGTAGAAAGAAGAGGAAAAAAATGAAAAAATGAAAAATGAAAGAAAGACCTTGACAACAATTTGATCGGAGTATGCAGTATAAGAGGAACCTTTCGACTCCAAATCAGTGTCGGACCTTTAAAAAAACTATTGAGAGGGCAATTTGAACACGATAACAAAATAAAAGAATTTCAAAATACCATAATAAACAAAAAGAACTTTAACTTTAATTGATGTTTTAATTAAAATTTGTTCATTAGTTACTTTCGTTTTGATTATTATCGACCTAGTGTATTACAATTTTTTTTTTTCAGATATGTTGGATAAATAATAGTTAAAAAAAATTAGTGGGGCAACATAATGCAACCAAATATTTTAAATATATAATACGGAGTACTGTATAAAATTTTCTTGGCGGCAAAATGGTGATCGCTGGATTGATTCACGGACAGAACACTGATGAGTTTCAACTGGTTAAAGCCCATTAGATCAGGCCCAGTCAACTTAGAGAGGTGCTAGGGCTCGGAGTCTCGGACAAGGAGAAGTTCTACAATAGAACAGGCATGATTGCATAGAAGCAGCGGCTGTTGGCAGAGCCGCCGGAGAGATGGTGTTTGTCGATCGGACGCTGTACTGTCACAGACCACCACCACCACCACCACCACCATGGCGGCCGAGAAGCGATTGTCTGAATCCGGCGGCGAAATTCTTCAAAGCCTCTGGTGGTGTTGCTCCGACTCTTCATGGAATCAAATCTTTGTCATCGGTGAGATCAATGTCATCATCGCTTGTATCCTCCAACCACCTAAACAAAGATTTCTGTAACAGTAATGGCAATTGCACGCTGATGACCATCCAAGGCTACCAGAGTCCAGGTGATTCCTACAACCACCTTGTAAAGAAAGATAGTCTAAAATGCTTGGTGATGCACACTGCACTTAGAGCACTTGGTTCAGATAAATATTTAATTGACAGTGGTTGTTGGCATTTTGATAGTGGCAGCTCTAACCATGTGACAAATGATAGAGCATTGTTTACAACCTTTGAGGAAGATTCTGATGATAGGTGTGTTAGTTTTGGTGATGGCGGTAAAGGTAGAATACATGGTAAAGGTGAAATCAAATTTCCAGGTGTTGGAGAGTTGAAAAATGTTCTATATGTTGAGGGTTCAGATGGAAATTTATTGAGTATTAGTCAATTATGTGATGATGATTTTGAAGTGACTTTTACACAACAGGGTTGTCTTGTAACCAACAAAGAGGGTGAGTGTGTTCTGAAGGGAATTAGAACTTCTGGTGATATTTATGTAATACAGCCAGATCCACTGTTTTTGATGGTACCTGCTGGCTTCTTGGTTGCTGAGGGTGAAGAAGAAGTGTCCTTTGTCAAGCTTACTACTACTACAATGGAGGAGGAAGAGGACGAGGACACTGACAATAGTACTATTAATGATGATTACTATGACTTGTTGAGCTTTGAAGGGAAGAAATTAGTATTGAAGAAGAAGATCAAGAAGAGTGATCTTTGTCATCCATCTAAAGAAGGGGACCTCCTCTCATCAGACAATGCCATCTGCTTTGGTTCCTCTCGCGGTTGGTTGGCCTTTATTCACCTTCACTACTGTATCATCTATCTCTACAACCCATCAATCATCAACCACTCTATCCCTTGCATCTCCCTCCCTCCCATCGATACCCTCCCTTCTTTTATACCATCTTCACGCCCAGGTCGCAAAAAATCATCCTCCTCATCCTTTAATAATAATAATAGTACTACGGAACACCTGATTCCACAGAAGATTCCAGCCGTATCATCTGAAACTCTGCATGAAGATTTCTTTAAAAAGATTGTTTCTTGCTCACTCCTTCCATATTCGAAGAGCAACAGCAATCACAATTGCACGGTGGTGACCATCCAAGGATACCAGAGTTACCAACTTGCTTTCTGCAGGATTGGGGACTCTTCATGGACTGCCTTAGAAGGAACACTTGATCCCTATAAGGACCTTGTATTCTTTAGCGAGCACCAACTTTTTTATGCTTTGGGCAGTTGTGGTTTAGAAGCTTGGGATCTTTGCAATCCTGCCTCTCCAAAGAGTACTTTCATAACTGAATCCATGCCTCCCACAATGAGTTTTGTCAATGAGGGGGTGGAATGTTGTTGTACCAGAAGTTATCTAGTGGAGTCTTCAGGGGATCTGTTAATGGTTAATAGGTACTATTCTCGGGCTATTTGTAGCAAGACCATTGCATTTGATGTGTATAGGCTTGACTTTGTTGGGAAAGATTGGGAATATGTGCCAAGCTTAGGCGATCGTGTATTGGTTATTGGTGCCAATCACGCGGAGTCTCTCTCGGCCCATGATTTCCCTGGGTTGTTCCCCAATTCCATTTACTTCACTGCCTACAACACTTCTATATCTAATGATTTGGGTTTCTTCAACTTGGAAGATAAAAGCATCTATCGGCGCCACTTGGGGAAGAAGAAGGTCCAACCGTCTCCTACTTGGATTGTGCCTCAGCTGTGACTGTAAGTGAGGAAATTAAAGGTTGATATCATCCTTCCATTTTGTTAAACACGGGTTACTAATTATCCCAATTAAGCTCTATACTACTCGATATCCCAAATCTGTACTAATCTAGACTTGTTCTTCACACTGTTTTCCTTTTTGGTTCCCCTCAATCTTTTCTTCTCATGTGTTATTATTGATAGGATATTCAGCGCTAGGTGGATCGCTAATGTGTCATTGATTGCCTCTACAAGTGTACATGGTTGTTTGGTTTTTATTTTCCTTTTTCTTTTTCCCTTTCCCTTTTAGTTGGTTAGTTCTGAAGTCGAATTTATATAATTACAAAGTTAGCACTTAACTATGTGACCATAATCCACCTCTATAAGTGTACATGGTTACTTGGTTTTTATTATCCTTTTTCCTTTTCCCTTCTAGTTAGTTCTGAAGTTGAAGTTATATAATTACAAAGTTAGCACTTAATTATGTAACCATAATTCATTATATGATTAATTAGATTTTAAGATCCATATGAACCTTCTTTATGTTTAAAGATAGAAATGATCAAGTCGGTTTATATTGACTGTAGGCCATGATAAAGCTGCACTCAGATTGTAATATCTCCTTCAAGTTCAAAGTGCAGGTGATTAGGATTTGGTTGTAGACGCACAAGTCTTCCTCTGTCTTCTTGTTGCAGGATTAATTCCCTCCTTTACGTAGTAAACATTTCAGACTAAAATAAAAGCTTGGCTGATGTATTCTTTGCAACTGTTTTTCCATTATTATGACGGCTTAATGTGGCAGTTTTATGGGGTTTCGTTTGTTGTTGATTGCCCTGTAGTATCAATCACCTACCTCATCGCTCAATTCTTGAAATGGTGCACGCTGCTCTAGTTTGCTTAGTTTCATTAGGCATGCATCTTGTAACAGCTAGCCTTAAGTCGTTCATTTAACCTAGCGGACTGATATCAGGAAAATTAGCAATGGAAAATGATATCTTTTTTGATCTCGCCATAATTAATTACTGTTGTTTAATCAGCGTGTCTGCTCCATAAGTTCACTTTTCCGTATGACTATGGCTGTTGGGGATTCTCCATCTGCTAATAAAATATGCTCAAACTCCCCAAAAGAGCCAATCACCAAGCAACAGAGGGGCTACGAGGTTTAAGTCATTTTTTTTTTTTTTTTTTTGTCTTCCAGCTTCACAATATGTATCTAAAATTTTATTAAAATTTACACTAACCATAATTAATAAATATTGCTACATGTCCTACAAGTGATATTTGAGAAGTTCCATACCATGCAGCTTTACTTTCAAGACACAAAAAGTTACTAAATCAGATGGACTTTGAGACACCTAACCTTTTTCCCCCTTCCTGTAATTTGTTGCAACTTGATGATGTCTGATATCTATCCATATCAATTATGAGTTTGAAAAATAATCATCAGAACAGACAGGAGGAAAATTAAATTTCAACATTGAAGCGAAAAACACAAAAAAGGATTTGATTGAAAAAGGAAATATAATATTTGAAGTGAACTCTGGAAATTTAAAGAAGAAAGGAGTAAAAAAGAAAGGAAGAAGTGGAAGAAGAAAAGAAAGAAAGAATTTTAAGAGAATTTAAGAATGGGGAATTTTTTATGTTTTCAATTTGGAGAAGAAGAGAGAATGTACTTGTGTATGTGGAACCCATAGCTCTTTTTATTTATTTATTTAGAATGTGAGGTTATACTGTTAAGTCAAAGGTCATGGTTACATACATCAAACAGTATTCTCGGATGAGAAGTCAGGGTGGACATTTTTTTTTTTTTGGCAGGGTCGGATTAGTAATATTAAAATAAAATTCTAAAAATTATATTATAATATTTCCTTTAAAAAGTATATCTAAATACGAATATTTATAAATTAATTAGACTATTTCATAGATCACCAAGTCCATAAAATGAGAAAATAAAAATATTAATAAATTATGAGAGTATCTCATAAATTTCCAATTGTATAATGAGAAAAAATAATATGCACTTCTAAAAATAAGTCATGAAAAACTTAAGATTATTTATACAAACCTATATTTTAGGAATTTTACAAAATTCTGGAGGGCCATGGGTTCCCATGGTCTCCACATAGTTCCGTCCATGTGAGGAGCCCTCCGAAGTGGTGGCCTCAGAAGAGCCGTAAACATGGGTGCTAGGGTTCGGACAAAGATTTTTTCTTGCATAGAAGCAGCGGCTGGTGGCGGAGCCACCGGAGAGATGGCTGCTTTTGTGGATCAGACGCTGTACTGTCACAGACCACCACCACAATCATCTATGCATCTGAAACTATGACCGGCAACATTCTTCAAATCCCCCGGCAGTACTGTTGGTCTGACTCTTCATGGAGTCAAATCATTGTCATCGGTGAAATCAATGACCGGTCAAGGCTGCCAGAGTCACCAACTTGCATTCGGCACGACTGGGGACCCTTCATGGAGTACTTCCTACAGGGAACTCGTAAAGGAAAATAGTCTAAAGTGCCTGGTCATGCAAGCACTTAGTTCGGATAAATATTTATTTAATAATAATTTTCCGTTATTTGATAGTGGTTGCACTAAGCATATCAAAGGTGATTGAATTATTGCTTATCACGTTTGAGGAAGATTCTGACGCTGGGTCAGTTATTTTTGGTGATGGCGGTAAATCTAGAGTACGTGGTAAAGGTAGAATCGAACTTTCATGTATTGGAGAGTTGAAAAATGTTTTGTATGTTGAGGATTTAGTTGGTACTTATAGATTAACTAGAGTATTTCATAAATACCGAAGAGGAAGAGTGATATTTCTCTTCCAATGCAAGAGGAGTACCTCTCACCAGACGAGGCCATCTGCTTTGGCTCCTCTCATGGTTGGTTGGGCTTTTTTCACCTTCGCAATTGTTCCATCTACATCTACAACCCCTTCCTCCACGAATTCTACAACCCCCTCCCTCCTGTCCGCACCCTTCCTACCTTTGGTAGCTGCAGCAGCTCATATCATTCAGGCGGTGGCTATTTGTATGTTGCTCCTACTCACGACTGCACGGTGATGACCATCCAAGGCTATGGTCATCATGACTGGACAAGTAACCTACTTTCTTTCTGCAGGATTGGGGACTTTATATGATTGTTGGTCATGATAATGTAGCACTCAGAATGTAACATCTCCTTCAAGTTCTAAGTGCAGGTGATTAGGATTTGGTTGTAGATGTATAAGTCTTCTTCGCGTCTTCTTGTTGCAGGATTCCCTTCTTTATGCAATTCAACATGTAGGACCGAAATAAAAGCTTGGCTAATGAATTATTTGTAATCGTTTTACCATTATTTTGACAGCTTAATGTTGCAGCCTTATGGGGTTTTTGTTGTTGACTACCCCGTAGTATCACCTACCTCATGATCTCGATCTCTATCCTTGAAATAGTTTGCTTAGTTTCATTAGGCATGCATCTTTTCCCAATATCAGGATCATTAACCATAGAAAATAATCTTTTTTTTTTGAGCTCTCTATAATTTACTGTGCGCATCTGCTCCATAAGTTATGAACTTATCCATATGACTCAGACGAATGGCTGTTGGGGATTCTCCATCTGCTGCTGTTCTTCGATGCGGGAGAAAAAGGCCTAGGTCTTTTTATTCAAGTGCCATGTTGGAAGTCGATTAAATTGTTTAGCTTTATAGCTCAGCAGCTATGTTACATAGACTCGAATACGGGTGTGTATCCATGAGTTGGACGTGTCAAATATCTAAACAAAAGGACACACAGATATGGCTAAATATTTATTTTATTTTATTTTTTAGAGTAAAGTAATGTTTTTATCTAATATAATGTTCAATATAGGCATATAACTTATCTTAAAGTAATAATATAATGTAATTGAATGATTGGTTATACCTTTTAAGTACATATCCAACCAAAAGTGTCGGACACATATCCCATACCCATGTCCAAGGGATATGTGTCCGACACGAGTACTTCACTACTTTTGAAGAGTCCAATAATAGAGCTCGGCAGGCATATAACATATGGATCATATATATATTTTTTAGTTGGTTGCTTCTTGTTAAGAACCAACCAACATCCAATAAGTTGAACTAGTTGTAGTTTACAAATAACTATTTTTGGGGGCAGTTTCAAGGGTTAAACTTATATTTATGTTCTTACAATTAACTCAGAGCAGGTCTTGCAGCTTCAGGACATATTCCTCTTATGTGTAAAATATGCCAAAGAAAATATTTAGATCAAGTCTCAGAGCTTGTTTTCTTGCCTTTTTCTGTCTTAATATGTAGTAATAATTAATATCACTGAAATTTAAAATTCACAGCTACAAAAGTTATTTGTAAACTACAATGTTATAGTAGTAACTTGTAGAAGTGAAGAACAACCTGTTTCTCCATACCACACCATTGAGCAGCTTCAAGTTACATTCAACATATGAGAGACTCTGCACATAAACCATCAGATCTTCTATCACACAAGTTCGCAATATATCACACTACTAAATAATAATGGGAAGTGCCTAGCTAGCTATCCATGGTAATTAGAAGAGTCGTCCTTGGATTGAACGTCAGTGTCTGGTCCAGGGTTAGTACTATCCCAGTCCTGCCTTGGAATGGCATGGTGATTATTTATGCTGGCCTTCTCATCTCCAACAGAGTTCTCCGCGACCATGTTTGCTTTTTCCTTGCTTTGTTTTGCCTCAGCCACCGCGTTATGATTGTGGTATTTGACCATCACCATCCTCCTATTGGTAGCGAAAGCCTCTGCCATCAGAAGTAGCAGAAGGAATGAGGATAGCAGTACAATCTTCATAGCCTTGATTTTTCTAAGCTCATCAATGTTGATGCTTTGAAGCAAAAAAGATGGCTAGCTATTGTTGTTCTATATAGGAGAAGGAAGAGTAGGGAGGGTGGGAGAGAGATAGAGATGGTGGTAGTGGGTGAAAAACTTAGAAAAATCTGTGTGGGCTTTCCACCAAATTAAAGTCAGAGCATAGGCTGGTTAAAATGAGTGATTGAGTGAGTGCTCCATTTTTGTGCCTTCTTCCTGTAGAGATATTTTTCTATGAGGAGCATGAGATGGTGCAAGTCTGGCCTGTTCCCAAATGGGTAAGTGCCACCTTGCCATGAAAAAAGGGGGCCACCTGCATTCACCATCAATGTGCCTGTTTGAAAGATGCCCAATGAGGTGATGACCTAACATATAAAATTTTGAAAATGGGCTCTGGTTGTTTGGATATAAAATATTTTTTTAAAATATTTTTTTATTTTA